ACTCTGGCTGGCAAGGAGCAGAGGAAACTCGTGTCAGGGTTCACGTCTGTAGGAAAGAGAAACACAGCTGATGGGCATGTCTTGTGAAGAACACACAAGGCGATGGTTCTCTGGCTGGTGAACTATCTGCATCTGAATCGTCTGGGGCACGTGATAAAATGCAGGTTCCCAGCATCTTCGGCAAAGATCATGATCCAGTGGGTTGGGATCTGGGACGTGGGAATTTGCATTTGAAAGTACTCAAGGTAATTCTACGGCAAGTGAAAGTCTGAGGACCTGTGAGATAAGGTTTCTCCTTCCCCTGGGAGGAAGACTGATGTGCACATCTGAAATGCTGACAGTGTTAGTCTTTCAGGAGAGGAGGGAATAGAGCACAGGAGGGGGCTCACCTCTACCGAGCTCTACTGTGGTCTATACATGTTCATTTAATCCTCACAACAAACCTATGCGGTATATGATTATTATGCTCATTATACAGATGAAGATATTTAATTAAAGAATTTACATAGCCCTGGCTGGTTTGGCCCAGTGTTGAAGAGTTGGCTCGTGGACCAACCTGTGATGAAGACACAAGCACACACACGACCTGTGAGGCCTGGGTACATCCCACTCACCATTCAGTGTGGGAAACCAGCCTCAGGCCGGAGCAGCGAAGGGCTGGGTGTTTAGGGCAAAGCTGGGAGGGACAATAAATTGAGCAGCCAGTGCTTACTTCTTTCCCGTCATTTTGTCAGGTGGAGGTGTTAGGAAATATACTATGGCTGGGAACGGGGTCCATCTCCAGGAAATAGCCAATATGCTGCATTCCCATGTGATGTTATCTGCACATGATGTTAAAGGCTTTGGGATTCAAAACATCCAGAGTCAGGATTCTCAAAAAATAAACTGTCAGGAGCAGAGGCAGCTCCAGGATTCGCATCAGGAAACTGCTCAGCCTTCGGAGACATCGTGAGAGGCTGGCCGCTTTCTCAGGTCAGACAGACACTGTCTCCTTCTACACAGACTCAGAGGGACAACCACAGACACAGCTCAGAAAACCCCTGTTAAAGAGCTGGGGGCCAGGCCCCACCTAGATGAAGACACAAACACACACGACCTGTGAGGCCTGGACACATCCCGCTCACCATTCAGTGCGGACAACCAGTCTGAGGCCGGAGCAGCGAAGGGCTGGGTGTGTGAGAGCAGGAAAGGGGAAGTCATCGCAAAGGCAGCCGAGGGCAATAATGGGGGTGGGGCTGGGCCTCGTGTTCAGAAAGCTGTGTGTCACCACCACCCTCTTGTGTCACTGAGCTTGGAGCCATCACAGTGACACCGCACATACATGTGAGTCTCCAGGGCTGGAGAGCTCCTTGCACATTTGTGGTGTTTCATGCAAACTCCGGAGTCCAAGGATGGGTTTGCATCAAATCACCCTCAGCACTGACCCTGCGGACGGACAGCACCAGCCGAGATTTCACTGCTGAGCGCAACCAAGGTTGTAAGCCAGACTTTATTTTATTGCTGTATTTTCTCCAACCCAATCTGGGAACATTTGTTTCAAACAATTTTTCATATAATGCTGGCATGGCTTAGAGTTGTTTAAAAACAAAATAATATGCAAATCTGGATTGGTCCTCGCCTGACGAAAAAGTTGCTTTCTTTACTCTGCACTGATTCACCCTCCAAATACAACTTCTAAAAGTCACACTTAGAAAAGCAGGTGTCACACACTACAGCTTGAAAATACTCAGGCCCTGACCCTGCGTGTCTGAGTGTCCCTGAAACCTGCTGACACTTCAAACCAGCTGCACTACAGGCAACTGTGGCGGGCGGGCATCCGGATGGAGTGTTAACCCTGATGGCGACAGCTCCTTGTTCTGGAGTCTGAGCGGGATCTGGGTTAGGTCTGTGGCCGGCCAACGGGCACCTGGGAAGGGATGTGAAGCCCACATCTCACTATGGCAGGTCTCCACCTTATCCTGTCCCTGACTTATAAAGATGGGGGAAGCTAATCATTTGGGAGCTGGGCAGTCCCCGTGGCCAGAACCCAAGTGCACTTGAAACAACTGCTACGCTGTGTAAGATCAAGCCAACCATCCTGCAGATCCTTGGCTGCCTCTGGTTATGACCTCAACACTTAGAAAGGAAACCTTGAGTACGCTGAGATAATCATCAGGATGTTCCAGGACCCTCCTTCCCGCACCACGCACAGGCCCCGTGAGCCCGGCCACACTGCCCGGGCTCAGCCCATCCGCCAGCCCGGAGCACTCCAGGCTCCGGACCTCCAGGGTGAAAGTGGTGTTCTAACGTGGGTCTGATTCAGGGCCCCAGAGCCTTCCCACTAACATCATCATCTCCTTTATAAATGAGGACCCGGAGGCTCAGTACGTTCCAGAGCAGCCTATAGTCACGTGTCTAGGAAACGTGACTAGAGCTGCAGATTGTATCCACAGTTATCTGCATGAGGGCGATCCTGGTCCAGACCCACTGCCGCCACTTCTGGAAGAGGACAAATGTTCACCAGCGCAGACCAGGAAGAAATATGGTTGGCAGTTCAAGTCACTTCCACCACGTCCCCTCAATTTTCATTTTTACTTCGCTTATGGTTTCGGTCCTTTTAGCCTAAGTTCATTGTAAACTGACCTGGGAGTCAGCCAGGAAGAGAAAGCGGGAGGTGTTTGCGCGGCTGCTGCCTCTGCCCCGCTGACTGGTCACGTGGCTGGATCCTCCTGTGACTTTCCAGTGCAGAGTAGCCAGCCCCTGACACTGAATCCATCCCCATGAGAGAGAGATTCTGCTTTGTTCCCTGAGGTGAGCACAGTGCTTGGCACTCACTTCTAGAACGGGTGCCCCCTCGCCCTGCAGAGAACCTACAGGTGGTCTCCCTGACTCTCACCGGGGTGGGGAGTTTACCCGCCACCAGTACTTGATTTTCAGGGGGAGGTGGGAGATTTTATCAGAGAAGGGAAAGGTCAGACATCCCCAGGGACACACACACACACGTGTACACACCTGGGTACCAGCAACTGTCGTAAGATCTTTTTTGTTGTTGACTCTGACCCGAGATTATTCTTCCATTTATTTTTTAGAAAGAATGGAAGGGAGGGAGGGAGAGAGAGAGAAACATCGATGTGAGAGAGACACATCGATTGGTTGCCTCCCGAACAACCCGACCAGGGCCAGGGACGAAACCTGCAACCCAGGCACACGCCCAGCAGTAGACGGGTGGATCAAAGAGCGGTGGTACATTTACACACTGGAATACCGTGCAGCTGTGCAAAAGGTCTGTTACCCTTGGAGACAGCAGGAGGGACCTGGAGATTAGTTTGCTAAGTGAAATAAACCAGTCAGAGAAAGACAACACATGATCTCACTTGTCTGTGGAATCTAATGGACAAAATGAACCGGTGAACAACACAGAATCAGAGGCATGGGAACATGGAACAGACTGAGGAATCTGAGGGAAGTGGCGGGGGTGGGAAGAGATTAACCAAAGAATGTACATGCACACAGGCATTGCCCGTGGACACAGACGACAGGGTGGTGAAGGCCTGGGACAGCGGAACTGGGTGGAGGGGGACAATGAGGGAAAAATGGGAGGACATCTGTAACACTCTCAACAATATATATTTTTTTATTAGAGAGGCAGGGTCTCAGCACCTCCCAGGCTTCCCTTCCTGGCCATGTCCCTCTGCCCAGACCTCACCTGGATGTCCCCTAAGCATAGCCCTTCCTCCAACCCCCATCCATAGGGTCACCTTCTCAATGAATGACTCCATCAGCCACAAAGGCAGACATTTGGGAATTATCCTGAATGCTCACCTCTCTCTCACACCCAATCAAAGCTCTGTTCATTCTCTCTCTAGCCCCACTCCAATCCATCTAGACAGCTAAAACATAAATCCGATATGACCGTTCCCTGCTCAAGAATTTTCAATGGCTCCCAAGGGCTGTCATGTTAAGGCCTAAACTCAGTGGTTTGGCACCTATAGGATCCTCTCGATTCCTTCTTCATCCAGGTTCCATTTTACACCAGCTGAAGTATTCATTTCCCAAGCACACCGTGTATTCCCAGACCTCGGGCCTTTGCATATGCCATTCCTGCAGGGTAGAACACCATCCATCCTCTTGCTTATATGAACCAGGGTATATTACCCTTCAAGTCAGCTCCAGGGCCACCTCCTCCATGAAGCCTGCCAGGCAGACTGAGGGACCCCTTCCTTGGGCACCCAGTGGCTCATGGCTGAAGGCAAGGGCACCACCTTTTATTTTATTGAAAAAAAAATTTCTTTATTGATTTTACAGAGAGAGGAAGTGAGAGGGAGAGAGAGAAACATCGATGAGAGATGTTTGATTGGCCACCTCCTGCATGCCCCCCACTGGGGATCCGGCCCACAACCTGGGCATGTGCCCTGACCGGGAATCGAACCAGCAACCTCTTGGTGCATGGGTCAATGCTCAACCACTGAGCCACACCAACCAGACAAGGGCACTACCTTTCAACCTGTTCCAGCACTTAGCACCATCTTTTGAGCACAGTAAGTAGGTGCTAAATAAATGTCAGATCTGCAAGTCCACCAGCTTCTGATGAGCAGGAGATGCTGGTGTCAGTCCTAGACGGCTCCCTACCAGCTGTCATCTGGGGGAACACCTTATCCGCTCCCTGCCTCAGTTTCCCCAGCTGAAACACAATTCCTGATTCATGTTGTTGTTGATTAGATGGTGAGATGATACACAGACAGCACCTCCCTGGTCAGACTAGGGGTCCCACAAAGGTTGGTTCCCCGCCTCCTCCATCTGTTTTGCTTACCCCAACTCCAATGTTACTAGAAATAAGATTTAGATAAAGGACCACTCCGCTCCCCTCCCGAGGCTTCTACAAGGTAAAAGCACCTGTAGCAGAGGAGACACTGACCACCAGCTGGGACGCTGGGGGCTGGATGACCTTCTTCTCCGCATCACAGGCCTCCGACCTTCCTTCTCCGTTCCCCCATCTGTTTGAAAATACCTGCTTCGAGGTCCAGGCGTTGCCTCTCTTTCTCTGGAAGGCGCTCCCAGAGGGGGTCCGAACACCCGACCCCCATTCCTGTTCTCCCTGCCACCCGCTGACCAGTCCCACACTCATCCGACTGACCACACAGACACAGCCCCGGACACCTTGGCACAGTTTTATTCAAACTCCAGATACCCAGGCTTGCCCTGGCAGAGTGTTCTTGCCAGCGGCAACAAGTGATACAGCAACGTTCGTTAACACTAACCATTTTAATTTAAATTAATAGCATTTCTGGAAGACGAATGCAATTGATAGAAAATATAAAAACTTTTACTGTACAAATTTTACATCACATTCAACACAGCAAGGGCGTGCCTCGTGGCCACAGGAGACGCAGCGTCCGCACACGCGGGCATCCTGGCTAACGCTGCGGAACGGCACGCGCTCCCTGCTCGGCTTCACATTTATGCCTCCACCTGGCCCGAGTCAGTCCAGAACGCAGGCTCACAGGGCGCGCCGCCCCCCTCCGCGGCCACAGGGCTGCCAGGAGGGCAGAGATCCCAGGGCCCTGCGCACACCTTTGCTTTGGTGACTTGGAGAGGTCAACTTTGCTACACGCTGCTCATGACTAACAGGGAACTTGCTAGGATTCAAGACCTCAGGTTGGATGGAGACCCAATGGCTGTGACTCTGGGGGCTAAGGGCGGCAGGGACACAGGCCCTGGGGCTTTGGAGGTGAGGCTGGGAACTGAGGGGCCCTGAAGGGCCAAAGCTTGGGCTCCACCCCAGCCCCCGTGGGGACCTCCACAGCCCCCCGAGCTCTCACCAAGGAGGTCCTCCCAGCTTCTCCACCCCTTCAGTTGGCCATGAGGCTGAATTCACAGTATCCACGTCCTTCCTGTGTGCAGGGCACACGGAGGGCACACACGTCTTCCTAACCTCGTTCACAGTCACTTAAATAGACAGGGTGGGCAGAGGCTCAGGGTGGGAGCGGGGAGGCTGCCCGGGGCCTTGGAGAGGAAGGGGGTGTCCCCCAGGCCTCAGCTACACTCGGGGTTCCTGGCAGGTCATCAGTTCCAACAGGGCGGAGACTGTGACTGCTCCTGGCACCGGGCCCCCAGCATGGGCACGAGATGTGGTAGGTTTTCAGTGAAAGCTTCTTGCACTGAGTCACGAGTGTGACACTCGGGAGAGAAAACAAAACTCAGCTGGACTTTCTGTGGCCCAGTCAGGGCTGGGGCGGCGCTGAGCTCCCCCCGCTCACCAGCACGGCCACGGGCTCAGGGGAAGGGTGAGGGGCAGCAGTCACAGGCTACGTGAGGTTGGGGGGGTGACCACGTAGAGGACGGACGGGGGAGGCCAAAGGCATGAGGAGGAGAAACGGACAGTCCCACAGAGAACAGACCCTCGTGGAGCTGAACCCACCGGTTTCCAGCCCCCGACTTCCCCCCACACCCTGTCTGGGAGGGGGAGGCACTCACATCGGGTGCTGAGGGCAGTGGGAGCCCGGGTACCTTGTTCTGCCACACAGCTGGGCTCCGCCAGAGGTGCTGGCCTGGCCTGGGGGACACAGCCACAGCCGCGGGCCGAAGGGCGTGCTGGCCACTCTGGGCAGGGCTCTGCCGATCGGGAGCTCTGCTGGGTGCATCCAAATGAAAGGGGTGAAGGACCACACGCCCCCATCCTGGCTCAGAACATGGACACAGGTTCTGGTTGGAATCCAACCACGTGGCCACTCCCGCCCCCCTCGGACACTTCTGATTTGGGAGCCTAATATGACAGAATGTCCACTGAAGTGCTTCTTTGCCGCTTGGGACTTTTCTCTTCGGGCAACAGCCCCTAACGGAGACAGGCGGGGTGCTCTCGGGGTGCTCTCGCCGTGGCTTCCCCACATCTAGCCCTTCCTTCTGGTTCGGGTGGAGGCCCGACAAGCCTCAGGAAGGCTCTGAAGACTAGGCAGCCTGCTGGGTGCTCTAAACGAAGGGGAACACATGCCCCCCTTAGCTGTGCACACAGACAGGAGTGCACTGAGCGGTCTCAGCAGGCCTGGGGCAGGGGGAGAGACGGGCACTTCCAGAACCTCGTGATGACGACGAAGGCTTCTGAGGGGCCAGGCAGCTCCCCCTGTGGCTGGGAGGGTGGGTTCAGGGATCCACTGCTGCCTCTCCCGCCCCCACACCTACATGTTCTCATGGAGCCTGCAAGGCGCACAGCCTTAGCCCTGGGGCCCAGTGTTGGCTGGGGCCTGGGATGTGTCTAACAGGCGAGGCCCGGGTGCCATCTCCTGGGGGCTTCATGAAGAAAACATCTGTACAGATGGTGGCAACCCTGGTCAGGAACTGCCGGATCAGTGCAGATGTTGTTCGGATTGGATCTGTCCCTACGTTTCCAGCTGGTACGGGCTGAACTGCAGGGCTCAGAGGTGAACCCCAGCTCTCTGGGAACTGGCGACCCTCCTAGTCCAGCTCCGTCCCTAGCCAGGGTTTCCTCTGCCAGAGGAGGAAGGAACCGTGTCCTTCTGTTAGGACAAGGGGAGACCGTGCAGAGAGAGATTCCTACTGATGGGGTTTGGGGCCAAAGCAGAGGCCAGGCCAAGTCTGTGGTGCCCCCATCCTGCCCGAGAACATCCACCATCACGAGGCTTTTCTTCCTTCTGGCCCAGTGTGGGCTCACTGTGTACAGGGCTCTGCAGAGCAGACGGCCACTCCCGCTGTCCCGGCGACAGGGCCGGCGCACCTGCGCACAGCCCTTTTTTATTATTACCTATTGTCAAACATCGAGTTCACGCTGCAGAAACATACACGTAAACATGTGCCGCCTGTCCGGTCAGGTTTAGTTGTGGGTGATGCCATTTTACGACCCGTGCGGTTGAGACCACGGGTATTTTGTGAACAGTCTGGATCGAGGACTCGGCTCCGGACTGGCGGTGCCTGGGGGCGCGGCTGACGTTCAAAGAGCGCTGCTTTTTGTTGTGGTGGTGGTTTGGACGTTTTAGAAACACATTTAAGAAAGAAAGAAATCGGCGGGAAAACTGTACAGCTGGCTACATCTTTGGATTACTGGACTCCAGGACGCCCAAGCCAAACCTTTCAAACCGGGGTACAACTTTGCTGCTGTTACTGCTGCGAAGAGGAACAGAAACAAGGGTTACAGCCCCGCCGACCTGGACCAGGGTTAGGGTAACGTTAGCTCAGGCGTGGGCCATGCCAGAGCTCAGCACGGGACCCAGCCCACCAAGAAGTGAGCGCGATTCACGGCCAACAGCCGAGTCATCTCGGCGGAGCCGCTCCTGGTCACGCCTGCTGGGGGAGCTAAGCCTCCGCCACCCTCCTGGGGGCACTGGCTGGTTTATCTCGGACCCAGCGCCAGCCCGGCCTGCTGCCTGCTCACTGAGAGCCCGGAAAGCTCTCGCTCCAAGTGGACCTGGGAGAGGAGACACTGCCCCAGCACGGACATGGCACCACGGGCTCCCTCTAGAGTGGTCTTCAGACCCGGGAGTGCATCAGGGCCACCCGGGGAGCAGGTGGAAATGCTGGTTCTCGGCGCCTGCCTCCACAGACTCGAGTGCAGGTCTTGGGGGGCCCAGGATTCTGTGTTCAGTGACCAGTGCCATGACTGGGTGCCCTCTCAGCCACAGTCTTGTTGAACCTGACTCAGGGTCTGGTACTTGCCGTCTGCCCTGGGCAGAGGTGAGGGAGTAACGTGGCGCGTGGCAGGGGCGGGAGCTTCATGTTCATTAGTGAAATTGTTTGGAGACAGGGCCCCCTTGCTAGGACGACACTCCTGAGCGAGCTGCCGAGCACAGTCCTTCCGAGCTGGTGACTTAGGGCAGCGGAACGTGCGGTGTCCACCACCGCCAGCCCTGCGAGGGGACTGGCCCTGCGCCCTGAAACCAGCCCACTCCTTGTTGGACGAGATCCCTGCGGGTTAACAGCCAAGCACACCCTCCCCCTGCACTCGGGACCCAGCCGCGGGGGCCAGCGTGCCAGTGCAACGTGCGGGTTGGCAGGGTGGGGGAGGGCACACATGTTAGTAGGAGGCAGGATCACCCAAACAAAAACGGTGCCACCCGCAGAGGAAGAGCCAGAGAGGAGGAAGCCGCGTCCAGGAGGCAGTTCCGGGGGATTTGTTAGGGGCCCTCCGTGGAGGTCGTTGTTCAAGCACACGCAGGCCGTGGAGAGGGAGGGGCCAGTTTTAAAAACAAAATTAAAGACGAGGTCTCGGGAGAGAGGGCTGGAGCGGCAGAGATGGCGTCCCCCGGGTTAGTGCCCGCATCTCAGTTTGCGTCTGAGCAGAAGTCGAGGAGCCGAGTGATGATTAGGAGGAAGAAAGCCCCAGGCACATGCGAGGCAGCCAGGACTACAACCTATGGGAGGAAGGAGAGGGGAGAGCAGTGTGAGAACCGAGCGCCACAGGGGTGGGGGCGGCCCTGGCCGAGGCCTGGCCAGGTCAGGGGCAGGACCCTCTTCCCCTGCAGGGGGAAAGGGACGCCCCTGTTCCCTTCCAGGCTGGGCAGCAGAGCGAGCATGGAGGGAGCCGGGCACAGGGAACCTTCCCCGAGCTCCCCCAAGAGCTTGGCCAGGGGCCCACTGGCCTCCAGCCTTGACTATGGAAATGGACTTCCTGGAGCTCACTATTCTGCTCACTGTGCTCCCTTCTTTAAGCTCTGGCCAGGGGGCACCCTGGGGACTCGGACGAAGACCCCAGTTCTCTCCCACCCAGGCAAAGCCCTGACACACGCTATGGATCTCCTCTCAGCCCAGCGAGGGAAATACAAGCCTGCAGAGCCCTTGCTGACAGCCATTTCAGCTGCAAAAGCATCACTGTTTATGAGAAAAAAACACGCCAAGATGCGGCAGCAGGGTGGGGAACAGGAAGCGGGGTGTGTGCCAAGGGGGAAGTGCGAACAGGCAGGGAATGAGGGAAGTCACGGAAGACACACTATTCCTCCAGAACCGGGCAGGAGTTCTTAAAGTCAGGGTGACCGTAACGTCCTTTCCCGTAGTATCGGCTCCGCCAGCGACTGGGAGTGCCCGCGATCATTTTGCCAGGTGTGCGAGGAGCGAAGTCCAGCAGGTGATGGAGTCGGCCCCGTGTGGACAGGTGGAGGAGGAGCCACAGGAATCAACAGGATGGGGAGAGGGGACATGACAGGACAGGCCATCGCATCAGCCACCCCCCAAAAACACAAAAGCAACAAAAGCGATGGAGGAGAAAGAGAAAGTGAGAGTTAGAGGCTGAGTGTGCAGAAGAGAAAACCCTGAAGAGGAAGCTCTGACAGACTCATGCAGATATGCTGACATTCCTTCCTTTAGGAGGCTAAAACAGCCCCACCCGTGACTCCGTCTCCACCAGTGAAATGAGACGGGTGGGGCGGGGGGCTATGTGGTCCAGAGGGAACCTGGGACCGTCTCCCGAATGCAGCTGTCACCTAGCACAGCTTCTCTTTTGTAGATGAGAAAACCCGGCCCAGGCTGTTCAGTGAGTTGCCCGAGGTCTGACGAGCCAGATCCTTGAACTTCTTGCAAGTCCAGGAGAAACCCCGGCTCCCGGCCTCTACGGGGACAGCTCCTGCTCAAACCCAGCTCCAAGGGCTCCTCTGCTGGTGACCTTCCTCGAGCTCCCTGGGTGGGCAGAGAGCTCCCACAAGGCTGTGAGTTTTCATAGCGCTCAGCATATGGGAAGCTTCCCCCATTCACTCACTCACCCAGCAAATGTTAACTGAGCAACTACTGTGTTCCTGGGACTGTGCTAGGAGCTGGGAATACAGAGGTGACAAGAGAGTCCTGCTGTGCAGACGTACAGTGTGTGTCTGCTTGTATTATCCCCAGTGAGACTGTAAACTCCTTGCGGGCCGAGGCCCAGCCTTGGCCTCACCTCCCCAGGTGTGCAGCAGGTACTCAGCAATGGCTGGGTGAAACCCACGGCTCTAATGGTAACACTGTTACCCCCTGTTTGCACTGGACTCTGACCCATCTTAAGAACAAGCTAGTAAATCTAATTTGCATCATAAAATACAGTATTTCCTAGCCCCTAACTGTCCTTCCCCCAGGCCATCCCTGCAACTGGCCTGATTGGCAAAGTTGACCGTATTTCTTCAGGTTCTGCTACTGGTGTCCTCTGGCCGGACGACCCATTCTGGGCCGCCCCTCCCCTGCAACTTGAAGCTGGTTTGGTTTGCTTTCAAGACAGGGGCTAGCAAGCTATGTAGAGCCAAATCGGACCACAAAAAGGTTTTGAATGCTTTAAAGAGTTGTATAAAAAACAACAAAATGAAGACCACGTGACAGACCATAAGCCTCAGATATTTACCCCCCGGCCCTTCCTAGAATAAGAGGGGTGCTGCCACCACCACTCACCAGGGCAGCGGGTGTGAGATCGGGTGCAGCTCCAGGGGCTCAGTGATGTGACCGCAGGTGCCCCGCCCACGGGCATGGCAGTGGCACCTCGGGCTACTGTGGGTGTGGGGCAGCGAGGCTCTCCCCTCCATCCACAGCAGCTCCACTTCCTCTGTTTCTATATGAGGGCTGCAGATTTCTCTTTCAGAAAGTGCCCCTTGCCTTACAAAAATGTAACACCATCTATCTCGTCCAGGCACATACAGGCCACCACCTGTTTCTGTACCACCCACAAGCTAAGAATGTTGTTACCTTTCTGAGTGGTCAGGGGCAGGGCAAAGAAGTCCACGCAATTCCCATCTTGTGTCCATAAGGGAAGTGATTGGAGCATGCCAGCCTGCTCCCACACCTGACCGCCTCCCACACCTGACCGCCTCCCACACCTGACCGCCTCCCACACCTGACCGCTGTGCTGAGGTTGGCACAGAGATGGTCTGTGGTGGTGTCACTGTCCCACTCAGCTGCTGGGCAACCACAATCCCAGTGACAGGAGTTGTGACTCGAATTTCCCACCTAGCTTGCAAAGCCTAAAATATTTCCCATGTGGCCTTTTACAAATTTGGGCCCCCTCCCCCCTCTTGCACAACCCCTCTCGTTAAAGCTCTGGAAACGGAGGCCTGAGCAAGGACGGACTTCCCCAGGCCCTCAGAGTCCGTGCCAGGGCAGAGGTCTGTATGGAGTGTTCTGGCAGAGAGGGTCAGACAGAGGAGGAAGGAATGAGATAGAACCAAAGCGATGACAGAGGTTCCAGTGCCCAGTGGAGGCCACCCCTGCACCATGGGCACAAAGGATTGTGTGATAAACAGAAGCAGGGACAGGCTGCTAGCACCAAAGTACCACGAAAACCCAAGCCACGTGGTCCCTGTAACAGGTGGCTGATTTGGGGACTAGAAAGTTCCTTGTTGAGTCTGCAATATTTTAAGCCATAGCCACTCTGATGATTCTGGTGATGGTCTGTACCCACGTTGCTGTGACTTCCAGCTGGCCCAGTCTGGCCCTGTCGTAGGCAGAATCTTCTCATCTGGGCCTGGCCTGGGCCCAGGGTCTGCACTTCTCTGAGAACAGTGATATGGAAGTTTTCACAGGAGACCTAGAGACATTCACCTATCAAAAGGAGTCTCTGAAATCAACGTGGTGACTGAGGTCCTGGTAACACTGGTGAGGGACAAGTCACCCTGGCTAATCTGCTTTGAGTATTCCTGCAATCCTGGGCACACAGGGCAGACGGTGACCTCTGAGCCCCGCATGAGGCCACCAAGGCCTGGCTGGCAGGTTTGGCCACGGAAGGGGTACTTACTCAGCAGACTTCCAGAAGTGCCCGGGGTGGGAGAGCCGCCGGTTCAGCTTGGGCAGCTTCTCCAGCATGTCCATCAGCAGGGTGAAGCTGGGCCTCTGCTGCAGGTCAAAAGCCCAGCAGGCGGACAGGATCTCCTGCGAGCAGAGGCAGCATTAGTGGGTGGGAGCTGGCTGAGAGGGAGGAGGGCACAGCTGCAGCCCTGCGCAGGGTCCCCGCAGTGCTCTCAAGGACCCGCAGGTGGCTGATCATCCTGCTGACACGGAGACACCACGCACTGCTGGAGGAGCGGAGAGGTGACTGAACTGAACGCTCTCATGCTCCAGGTCACCATGAAGCGCACCGGCCTCTCTGCCCTGCTTCCTTCCCGGACCTCCCTGGAGGAGCAGCACCGAAGCTAACAGCAGGCCGTGGAGAAGACATCGGAAACGAAGTCAGCGGGTCTCAGAACGGAAAGCGGAGCAGTGTGTTGGCAGGAGAAATGCAAGACGCCCTGACTGCAGGGCGGGCGGCAGCAGGCGGGGCTTCGGCGCCCGGGGGAGGGAGGCTGGAGCCACCAGGAGGAAGCAGGGCAGCAGCCCAGAGTGGGCAGCACGCGTCCCGAGTGTCCCCAGAGTAGAGCCCTTCTCACTGTGGCAATCTGCTGCCTACTCTCGGGATCCACGCGTGCACACGCCCCCTTCGGCCTGTCGATTCCGAGAAAACAGGCCTGCACACGGCCAGGCGAAGTGCCCCGTGACGGCGGGAAGTGCGCATGCGCGCAGCTCAGCAGCTCGGGGTCTGCCCTCACCTGTGGCCGGCGCCGTGGGAAGCCCGCCCTGCTGGGAGAGCCAGACCCAGGACCAATGGGCCAAACCCGACTGCAGGGAGCCGTACGTGCGTGCGTATATGCGCGCGCGCGCGTGTGTGTGTGTGTGTGTGTGTGTACGAGTGCGTGCCTGCGTGATTGTGTGCGCACGCGTAAAAGCTACTCTGTCCATAAAACGAGGCTGGGGTGCAATGAAAAAAGAAATGGACGAAGTGTCAAAGGACTTGTGATGAATGATGTGACTTCCCAAATGGAACATTGGGTAGAAGGACGCGAAAATAAGACCAGGAAACTCCCCAGGTTGTGGACCCAGTTTCAGGTAGGAGTGGGAACTATGAAAGGAAAAGACAGGAAACTCCCCAGAAGGACCCAGTTCTGTCTAGTGGAAGTTCCCACAGAGAAAAAGAAACACAGGGCAGGAATAAAAGCCATAATACAAGAAAATGTCAAACTTGAGGGAAACAGGAATCTTCAGCGGCCAAGGCTCAATAAAGAGGCTCACTGAAAAGATAGAAAAGTACAGTCGACCCCTGAACACAGCAGGTTTGAACTGCGAGTCTAGTTAGACACCGATTTTGTTTTTCAATTGACCCACGCAGTTCAAACCCACGTCACTCAAGGGCCAACTCGGGCTGGGACCTGTGTGTGCAGAGACGGACGTAGTCACACAGGATTTGACTGTGCAGGAGGTTGGAGCTCCTGACCCCCGAGGTATTCAAGGGTCAACTGTAATAAACCCATTCTCAGGCATATTTGTATGAAATTTCACAAACAAGGATAAAGAGAAGATCCTAGGTGTTTCCAGAGAGCATGAAACAGGGCATCCATGAACGGTTGAGAATTAGACACCAGATTTCTCAGCAATGCACTGAACACGTAGTACAGGGCAGAACAAACCTTTATGTCCTGAGGGGAAATGGTTGTGGACTCAGAATTCTATTTCTGATGTGAGGACAAAATAGGGACCTTTTTAGGAACGCAAGGATTCCAAGATTATCTCCTATGCATCCACTGGGAGGTGGTATTTTTGTTTCGTTCTCATTGGGTTGGAGTGCAAATAAAGAAAGGGGAAGACACAAGATAAAATAGATTGTGCAACTGACCCAGGAATAAATGAAAAGAAACATGACAGCCCTGCAGCAGGCCTAAGATTCCACTGATTCAAATGATAAGAACTCTGAAAAGAACAGAACAGGTTCCATTAGGAAAAACCTAAAACTCCACAAGAAAACCATGGTCCAAATGTGAAGCTGACAAAATTGTGATGAGCCTTTGAGTAAATGATAGGATGGAAGAGAGGGACCCACGAAGAAGAAAATGTGATCCCAGGGAACTTCCTGTTCAGCAGGTAATGGCGGTGACAGTCTAGTACAATAGTACACACTGTTTGTCGTCTTCTCACTCTTAGCTTCAAACTACAGGCACAGAAGGAAAGATTTAAGCGTGGAACACAAAATCAATCTATACCATAACGATGTGAAGGGAAAGCTGATGGAAGTTGAGCACAGGAAGGGGCAGAGGAACAGGAAGTGAAGAGCGGGTGGAACAAGCAGCTGGTCTGGAGAGTGACCGGGTAAGAGACTGCTGGTTTCCATGAAGACCCTTCCAGCCTTTTGATGTCTCCCTGTCCCCACTACCTCCCTGTGGCTGCCTCTGCACAGAACGCAGTGCCCGGTGGTGAACTTAGGCAGTGTGGCTGGAGGGACACAGAAAGGTGCCCCTTAGAGGGTACTCCCTGCTTTTGATTATGATTCAAAATAATTTTTTATTGCCATCGACCAACACCCACTTCACCCTCCAACAGCAATGTGTTAAAAAGAGAAGACCAAATAGGAAAGACAACTCTCATGGGCCAGAAACTGGCTGCTGGAACATTTTCTCTTTGTCCCCATGTCTCCATCCCTGCCCCTAACTCATTATTAAAAGGCTCAAAGGACCCATTAACCACACACTGTAAGAAACCATTTCAATTCCTTTAGAACAATAGCTGTGTATTAGAATTATTTGAGGAGCTTTATTTAAAAATGAAAAAAAAAATTAACTATGTCCCAGGTCAATAAAATTGTTATCGGTGGCACAGGTCCTGCGTAGTTTTACAAAGCTCCAGGAAGGCACTGGCTGAGTGGTTCGGTTGGTTGGAGCACTGTCTCATTCACCACAAAGGTAACAGGTCCGACTCCCCATCAAGGCGCACACAAGAAGCAACACACGAATGCAGAAATAAGCACAACAACACATCGATGTTTCCAAGACAAATGCTGGGTGTTTCTCCTCAGATGCTTCTATTGTTATGCTGCCCAGATACCTGTTGGTACTCATGAACATCCAGGCTGGAACCTATTTACTCTGGTTCTATCTGATTCATGGTTATAGCGACCGCACTGAAAAATCGACCTGCAGGTACCCTTATCACTTTGTCTGGGCGGGAAACTTACAAACTGTAATGCAGAGAAACCATGAAAGATATGCAGAAATGTGAGGTCACCAACGGCGATTTTAAAAACAAATTTACTGCGGAAACTTCAACTGATTCTTGAATAGCAGAGGACAACATTATGGAGAAATATTTGATAACCCCACCACTGGTATTTTGTGCAGTGATTTTTCTTTTTTTAATCTTCCTTGTTAACATACAGGGCTTTAGCCTTGGCCGGTTTGGCTCAGCGGTTGGAGCATTGGCCTGCGGTCCAGAGAGACCCGGGTTCAGTTCCCGCTAAGGGCACGTGTCTCGGTTGCAGTTTGTCCCCGGCCCTGGTTGGGTTGTGAAGGTGGCAGCCACTGGATGTGTCCCTTTCACGTCGATGTTTTTCTCTCTCTTTCTCCCTCCCACTCTATCTGAACAAAAAATGGAAAAATGTCCTCAGGTGAGGATTAAAACAAAACAAAACAAAACAAAAAACATACAGGCCTCTACTATCTTTCTGTTTTATAATTCATTTATAACCATTATCTTTAAGTCTTTGTAGTCTTTTCTTTTTTAAGATGTTTCTTTTTTTTTAAATATTTTTTATTGATTTGAGAGAGAGGAAAAGAGAGGGAGAAAGAGGAAGAGGGAAGGAGGGAGAGAGAAACATCGATGTGAGAAACAACTATTAGCTGCCTCCCGCACGCCCCCTACTGGGGATCTAGCCAGCAACTCGAGCATGTGCCCTGACCGAGAATCAAACCAGAGACCTTTTGGTGTATGGATCAGTGACAATCAACCAACTGTGCGACACCGGCCAGGGAAGCTTTTTTTAATAAAGGACAAGGTTAACCGTGGGATAATGAAGGACACAAGCCCTTGACCCAGCGACAGAGGCCTGCCTGGCACAATCTGTCTCCGGGTCCCACTTCTCAGGAATGTGAATGAAGCGCCCCCATGTCATGTGCCCACGCCCTGTCCCCTAGCCCTCTTCCCTCTCCTAGAACAGGTGGCTACTCACAGTGACTTCCTTCCCCAGGCTGATGGAGGCCAGGACGCGCTTCATTCCCTCTCCACTTCCAATCTGCCAGATCAAGGCCTCTGCAGCTTGGTTCTTAAAGGGCCAGTCTCTTGCTTGCAGCTCATACCAAATGGTCCTGTGGAGACCATCCATGCAATGGGAGCTCCTGGACCACTCAGCCCCGCTCACGCCCAGGGGCTCCTGCTGCCACAATGCCAGGAGCCCAGCCAGAGGTTCTGGGGTCCTTCTCCAGCCTTCTTTACCCTTCAGGATTCGGGGATGCTGTGACAGTGTCCTGGAGGCTCCTCCCAGGTACGAGAGGACCTGGGGCCCGGCACTCCCATTGCGCTGGGAAGTCTGAGGCAGTACAGGCTCTGAACAGAGATCCTGGTGTAACTGTCAACCTTAGTGGGGCCGATGTCTACATCCAAGGTTGTCCGAGGAGCAACAAAAACGCCAAGCCCAGTGCCTGGCACACATGTGCTCCGGAAATAAGGTCGGGGAGAAAGAGACCACTATCAAGAGAAGGACACCTGAGAGATCACAGGGTGAGGCCTCACTCAGCCTCTCCGAGTCCCCTCGCCTTCCCTGACTTATCTGGACGGGGACCTTCCGTTAGAGCCACATGGTCCAACCATGGGGCCACCGAGCCACTTACATGTGGAGTGGCGCTGAGGTGTGCTGAGGTATAAAATACACACCCACTTTGGAAACTGAACGGTAGCATATCTCCTTAAATTTACATTTTTGATTACATGTTGAAATGACAATATTTTGGATATCTTGAGTTAAATAAAATATGTGACTGAAACCAATTCCACTTGTTTTCTTTTTTAATGTAGCTAAGAGGAAACTTTGCATATCTGGCTCACATTATACTGGGTGGGGCCAAAGTAGCTTTATGGTTATTCATATGGGAAATAACAAGAATTAATAAATAATAATACAAGAAAAAATCTGTTTTGTGTACTCACAACTGCAAGCCCCCTCTTGCCCCACTGTGTTCTCTGTTTGTTTTTTGGTCAGCTTTATGGGGCGCTGGAGGCTGGCTGGCAGGGCACCCCAGTTTTCCCAGAGGGGCAATTCTTAGTCAGCTCTGGTGAGCACCCCCACGGGGCAATGGATGAGACCAGGAATTTCCTAACTCAGTCCTCAAGAAACAACCCTATTGGGGAGGTGCCGTTAATTCTCCCCTCTTATGGGTAGGGAAAGGGAAGGTCAATAATGTGGTCACCCACCCAACAAGCAAGAGTGTCAGGGCTCAGAACATGCTCCCCCTGCCCGATGGCCAGCAGGGCCCCCTCTTTCGGCCCCAGGAGGAGGGGCCTCCTCACCCGAATGCGTAGACGTCAGCAGCTTTGGAGAACGGCAGCTGGTCCTCTTTTCTCCCGGGGGTCATCTCTCGGACGATCTCAGGAGCCAAGTAGCACAGCCAGTCGTGGGACAGCTTCAGCTGGTGCTCACGCCTGGGGGCCGAGAGCCAGGGCAAGGACACGAGGCCTTTCAGCGGGCAGCGGAGGCTCCCCTGGCACACATCTGCCCCGGGGCCGGCGCGCCACCCGGAGAAGCAGCACTTTTGGGGAATGTTACAGGAGAGCGATAACCAGGTTTTTCTAGGAAAGCAGGCCAAGAAGGGGTACTGGCAGGGAGCTGCACTTGAAGGTGCCCGCCTTCTGCCCTGGGGGACTGGGGTACATCTCTGTGCGGGAAATCAGAGCTGCCTGTGCACCTCACAACCTGGTCTGGAGCTGGCTCTCCAGCCTGGCTGCCACTCTGCCTCCTGAGGGTCCCCCAAGTGCTTGGGGGAAGCCTTTCTCCCCACACCTACCCCTTCAAGATCTGGGGAAATAACACCTGACACTCTTCCTCACATTGGGGACTCTCGTCTTCCGCCCAAGTTGGTAAATGTGAGTGAGGGGACCCAGCCTCCATGGGGTCAGCCTGAGAATCAAGTGTACGAGGGACCTACAGGTCAACGGAATCTGACTCTGGACCAGAACCACAGAGGCAGGACCAAGGCACAGCTGGCCTTTCCTAGAGGGGGGGCCGCTCCTCCACAACAAACAGCAAGAGTGCCCAGACCCCCCGGACCGAGCCCGCCCAGCACCCCAGTCCTGCCCAGAGGCCCGAGGCCAGCTCACCGTCCCTGTCGGACCACGCCCGACATCCCGAACAGCCCGAAGTCCGTGATGACCACTTTGCCGTTGTCATAAAAGACGTTCTTGGACTTGAGATCCTTGTGCACGATGCCCTTGGCGTGCAGATACCCCATGCCCTGGGAGACAGCGCGCGTCACTGGGGGCGGGGGCGGGGCGGAGCCCGATGCCGGAGCCTCCACCTGGGCCAGGCACTGAGCGGCCGCCTCACCCAAACCCCTTCCTTGAGTTTTCAATGGCATGTGTGTAATCATCTCCATTTCACAGACGAGGAAACCTGGCAGGGAGGAGGGCGCCTACCCCCGGCCACGCAGCTGAGACCTGGTCCCGGGCCAGTCCACGCTCCTCCCAGGCCCCGTGCGGTCCAGCCTCCAGCTTAGACTCAGTAACGAGTGACGTGTGGCGAGGGGGCGAGGGGGGCGCTGGGTGTCAGGAAGTGTGTCGTGTGTGATACCATCTGTATTAGTCATACAGGCCCCGTGTGATCTGGGGTCTCTATCAGGCTTCAACCAGCCGGCCTCCACCCTGAGGCTGGGCAGGGGCTCAGGTGGAGCAGAGAGGAATTCCCACAGAGGGAGTCCCCCAGGTCGTGAGGTGCCGATATCTGTGCTGTCACAGGACTGAGGGCTGAGGGCTGAGATCCGGGGCCCAAGTTCCAGCTCAACTCAGATTCTAATTTGCTGTGCGGCCTCAGACACTCAGCTTCTCTGAGCCTCAGTGTCCTCGTCTATCAAGCAAAAGGGTGGAGGTGGGTGGTTTCTAACCAACACTCTACTGGGATTGAACACTGACTGGCCAGGTGGGCGGGACGTGGGCGACCTGACGTAGACATGATCTCGTCAGGGTCTTCTAATGCCAACCAGGCCTCCCGTGCACCCTGATGCCCTCGGGAATAGGGACAAGATGTCATGACCAAGATGCCCATCCCTGCCCCTCAGAAAGAGGCACATGTAAACCCACCTCCCAGTCTTCCACTCGAGGGAGCATCACACGTTACATGAAATCTCTCTGGCTTTCAAGTTATTTGGGGTCAGGGATAGGAAGGTAAATAAGCCACGTTTAGGAAGTAGAAAGAATGAGGGTGAGACAGAACCACACAGGACTCGGCCAAGGCCAGAGCTCGGTCCACATGGGTCTGGAGAAGGTCAGAGAAGAATTTACACAAGGGGGTGCTGTCCTGTGCGAGACTGAGGGCGTGGGGTCCACGGTGGCCACTTCCCTCAGGCCTGCTGAGAGACGTCACCCTGCCATGGGAGCAGGGAGCTCCAGGAAAGAGTGACTGGCTCCTCCCCCAGGCTGCCCGAATGCGAGACGATCCTTCTTACCACAACTGCCCACCTCCTAACAGAAGCGAGCGCCCACTCCTGCCTCAGTGGCCGGGGAGCCAGAGACCCCACCATGTATGGAACAGGGACCAGCTGTGTGACAGAGGACAAGTCGCTGTACCTCTCTGAGCCTTGTTTATAAAACAGGTGCCACCACCTCAAAAGACCAGCTTCAAGAGACAGACTATGAAGCACCTGGCTCTGGGACACAAATTCTCCTCTTCCCACAGTTCCACAGCGTCCCCAGAGCGGCCCCCATCCTAGAAACCCTCTAACAAAAGTCAGGCCCCTGTTCCGGTATTTACAGCCTCAAAATAGCAGGGATGCGGACAAAAGGAAGTGGCTTAGAAGTTCCCGGCAGAGGCGAAAGGGCAGGGGACAGTTTTTCAGCAGGATGAAAATCACAAGGCCAGCAGAAGCAGCTTCCGGCTCTGCACTTACAAAACCGCTGAGGACAGTTTCTCTTCTGCCCTGGAATCTTCCAGAAGGCTCAGCGCCCTGACAATATGGAGAGAGAACAGTAGAGGGGAGACAGAGGGGAGCAGGACCTAACAAGTTTGGGGACAACCCGAAGCAAGTGTGACACTGCGGCGTTCCCCAATGCCCCTGAGCTGACTCCGTGAAGGCATAAAGGGGACATCTGGGCTCTGGGGGCTTCAGAAGTTTCATTCATTAGCTCAGCCACAAGGAAATGTCACACGGGAATCTTGGTTTGTCCACCCAAGTCACTGTGATGTTTTCATCTTTTCCTTTCGAAAGCCAAACACCCAAGTGGACGGAAGGAGGAAGAGGGAGAAGGAAGCAAAGGCGGCAGAGGGAAGGCACAAGAGAAAGAAGGGACAGGGACCCGAACCTGGGGGGAGAGGAACCCCTACCCTGTAGTATTCTAGTTTTCATCTGGGACTGTTGCTAGGTAGAGCAACAAATACGCTTTTCTTTCATTTTTATTTAACTACTTAGAAAGGATGAAAGAAAAAAGGCTGCCCACGTCGAGCCAGAGGGCCTGTCCTCATGAAACTTGGATTTGGTCACTTAAGGCAGAAAGTGTGGGTGCTTCCCCAGCCCCCAGCACAATGCTAACAGACTCTCACCAAGTGCTGGCCCTGTGCCCAATGCTCTCTCCGTAGATCATCCCGTGTTACCCAGGTGCCAATCCGCCGAAGGAGGTTATGTTGGTGTCCTCATTTTATAGGGGAGGAAGCCAAGGCTCAGAGAGGCCAAGCGACCTGCCCAAAGTCACACAGCTGGTGTGAGCAGGATTCAAACTCAGGCCATGTGTGTTTGCAGCCTGTGGCTCCAACAGGACATGACACAGATGGAGGGAAGGAGTACTGGGGTTCCACCCTTGAGGCGCCCCAGCTCGGGGGAGAGACAAGGCCGCCATCACCACCCTGACACAGGTGGACAGAGCAGGAGCATGCCTTTACCTTGATGATTTCCTGAGCGATCTGCCTGGTCTTGTTGATGTCCAGAGAGATCTTGGGGTCCCTCACAAAAGAGTGTAACGTCCGCCCCTTGCAGAAGCTGTGGAGAGCAGTGGGTCAGGCAGAGGGCTGGGGAGCCCGGCAGGAGCCGTGGGCGGAGCTGTGCCCGCCAGCCTCTGGAGGGCTCTCTCCACCCCTTGGACGGTGGGTGCCCGAAGCCTCATTCTTAGCCAGGCCTGTGGCCTGGCCTGAACGTATGAAAACAGGCTCACATGCACCCCACTGGAGACCCAGGGCCTGCCCACCACAGAACTGGAAACTCCGTTCACCTCGGCTCCTGGTGATCCATAGCAGCCCACTTTTGGGGTTCAGGGCAGGAACACGCCCACTCACACTCAGAGGGGGAGGAGTCTGGCCTTTTAGGGCTCGACCAGGGCAACGTCGGGCCCTGGGGCTCACTGTAAACATTCTCGTGATTGTTCCTCGTGTTTTCTGATCAGAGATTTTATCACGATAAAGGAGTGGCGAGGAGGGGACAGGTGGTGGAAGTGGACGTCAGGGTGTCAGAGTGCTTACCGGAGAAGGGCCCACATCTTGGGGTCTCCATCTACACTGACCTCTAAAAGGAAGGACCCGGAGAGAACCTGAGGCTCATTCTCCTTTTCCAGAGAAGGTGCCTGAAGCCGTCCGAGGAAGGGGCTCGTTTTTAGGAAAAGTCTCCAAGGAGATAAGATTCTGGGAGCCTGAGAAACTCTGAGATGCAGATGAGGGGTCTGGGACATGGGCCGATAGCTCCTTGTCGGTGTCCTGGTGTCCCGGTGCTTCGGGACCTTCTAACGCATGCTAAACTCCGCAAACGCAGGCTCTGCTGCTACTCTGTGCATCCCTGCAAGCAGACCCGGCCTTTCAGGGGACTGGGGGTAGAAGGTGGACGGATGGGAGGTGGCGGACAGACTGGGGCTGGGCTGTGGGGGCTGAGGCTGGCGTCACTACAGTACGGCTCCCTAAGGAGCCAGTGTCATGCTCTGGGCTGGAATTTGTCCCATGGTGGGGTGGCCTGGTGACCTCACAAGGCTCAGGAGTTCTGGTGGGTGGTTACTTACGTCTGTTTCATAAACAAGCAAAATGGAAAAGAATTTTTACTTCGTACATACAGCTTGTTTGAGGAGAAAGTTTTTAAAAGTACAGGCTCCAGCTCCAGAGAATATCATCAACATGTTAATGAGGGTTCTCGTGGCTGATGGGATTCAAGTGGTTTTAATTTCTTCTTGAAACCTCCATGTATATCCCAAAATGTCTTGACGACCCTCATATTGCTTTTTTCTGATTTTAGAAGCAAGTACTCAACAACAACTTTTTCAAAGCCATGGACAAAAATGTTTTAGTTTCACATACCCTGGTGCTGGGGGGACACACACAGTGATGGTGAGAGGAAACTGGAGAACAGCCCTGGACTAGAAGTGGACAGTGTACATCAAAATGTTACTACCTCCTCCGACCTGGCCCAGCACATGTAACTCACAGAAGGTCACCAAGACTGGACACTTTGTCATGATGACAAAGAGGCCAGCAAAAGAGGCTTGGTTAGATTAGGGGCACCCAGTGATGGGCTCGAGAGAGAACCCCGAGCCCAGCTGTGACTCCCCAATTCCACTTCACTTTCAGTGACATCATGTCAGTAGCTTAAGATCAACTGTGTGGTGAAAGTATTTACACCACAGGAATTGGCAGATGCCACAAACTGGGGCTCCCTCCCAGCAGCCTGTAAGCTGGTTATTAAACATGCCAGCATGCCAGTAGGTTCCACCACATCATGGGAATACTGTGCAGGTGCTAAAAAGAATTCAGCAGACCTCAGACCTGCACTCAAGCGAAGAAAGCAAGGGGTGAACCAGTATAATCTTTGCTGGTTTTTGTTGTTGTTGTTGTTGTTGTTAATCCTCACCCGAGAATTTTTCTCCATTGATTTTTAGATAGAGTGGAACGGGGGGAGGGGAGGAGAGGAAGAGAGAGAGAGAGAGAAAGAGAGAGAGAGAAAGAGAAAGAGAAAGGGGAAGGGAGAGAGGGAAAGAAAGAGAGACATCCGTGTGAGAGAGACACATCAACTGGCTGCCTCCCGCACGACCCGGACTGGAGCCAGAGATGGAACTCACAACCCAGGTAGGTGCCCTTGACTGGGAATAAAACAGAGATCCTTTGGTCCGTGGGCTGATGCTCTAACCACTGAGGCAAACTGGCCAGGGCTTTGCTGTGTATTTTTATAGAGGAATTGATAAACAGTTTAAAAACATGAGTATATGCAAATGTCTTTATTCCAATGGACGGTTTAAGGCACTATGCACAGTGCCCGCACGTGGGGGAGCACCCGTTGGGGTGGGCACATTGCCTTCTCTTTTGTACCTTTCTGGAACGTCGGAAGTTTCTCTCTCCTTAATCTTTCATTTATTTAACTTTTAACATCAATGGGGTTATAAGGGAAATTATACCCCATTCTTTGTACCTGTCTACATTACAACTACCATGCCCTCCGGGAAAGGGGAAGGAATTGAGAAATACGAATCGCCAGTTGCAGAAACAGTCAGGGGAATGTAATGTGCAGACAGCACAGGAAATACAGTCAGTAACATCTTCATAACCATGTGTGCTGCCAGGTGGGTACTGCACTCACTGTGTTCACTTCGTAAGGTGTACATGTCCAATCACAATGCTGTACACTTGAAACTAATATACTATTGCAAGTCAGCTATAGGAAAAAATAAATAAAAACAAAAAAACTTCCACACCCTTCAGGGCGTCCACATACACAACAGGGCTAACAGGGCCCCCAGGCAGGGAAGGCTGCGGCAGCCACCCAGCGAGCGCCGAGGCTGGGTTACCTGGTGATGATGGCCAGGTGGGGGGGGTTCATGCAGGCCCCCATGAAGAGCACCACGTTCTCGTGCCGGGTCTGCCGGTAGTTCATCACCTCTTTCTTGAACAGCTTCAGGTGGTCCTGGTTGTTGCCGTCCATCTCCAGCAGGCGGATGGCCACCTCGCCGTGCCAGCGGCCACGGTGCACCCAGCCCCAGCGGCCCTGCTCAATGGGCTCGCCCAGCTCCACCTGCTCAAAGGGGATGTCCCACTCCTGCAGGTACACACTGGTCTGGCTGGCCTTCCGAGAGATGGGGCCCCGCCAGGTACGGCGGGAGCTCGGCAGGTCGTCCACCTCGTCCTCATCGTCTTCTGCCTCTGACTTGCCAGCCTCCGGCTCCTCAGCCTGGAAGAACAGGAGGGAGAACAGAGAGGGCAGCAGATGTGGGCTCAGCAGATGTGGGCCCCAGAGCCCCAGTCAGGTAAGGGAGGCGGACACGCATGGGGTCGGGAGGCCCGGGTTCCGGTCCAGCTCTGCACTGGCTTTTGGGGATGACAGGCAGGTCCTAGCACCATGGAGCCCAGCGTCCTCATCCACGAAATATGGCTCATGGCCTCGGTGGGCCTGAGGCCCTTCTTTCCCCCAACACTCCAAGATCTACCCTTGAGCGGCCTCTAGTCAGTAGGGAAGAGGACTAGCATCCCCTGACATGGAGAACTGAACCGCGTTCCTTCCTTCTGGGTGCTCTTTTGTTCAGACACAGATTTTCTGACTCTGCTCTGGGCAGGAGTTAATCAGACTGTTAACATTCTGCTAGCATTGCAGGGAGCCAGGCTCAGCTGACACTGTGGTTCAAGGGTCACACAGTGGTCTGGGCTCTGGCTACAATCAGAATCACTGGGAGCTTTGACAACAGAGCCTGGCCCCACCCCAGATAGACAGACACAGAGTCTCCAGGCTGGGGGCAGGAACCACGGGAACTAAGAGCTTACTTGAGCCTCTAAAACAGAAAAGCAAAAGGAAGCTTGCACCTGGCTGGTGTGGCTCAGTGGCTGAGCATCGACCCATGTACCAAGAGGTCACTGGTTCGATTCCTGGTCAGGGCACATGCCCAGGTTGTGGGCCTGATCCCCAGTGGGGGGCATGCAGGAGGCGGCCAATTGATGTTCTCTCTCATCCATGTTTCTTTCTTTCTCCTCCCTTTCCCTCTCTCTAAAATCAATAAAGAAAAAAAAAAAAAAGTCACCTGGGCGGGGTTGGGGGCTTTTAAACTCCCAGTACCCAAACCACCACTGAGATCAATTAATCAGAACCCACATGGAGTGGAGAGGCTGGGCTGTTTCTATCTCTCTCTCCCTTCTCTCTAAAAATCAATAAAGAAAGAAAAAAAAAAAGGAAGCTTGCTTCACTGCATCCCTCATCATTCTTTCCTGCCGTGCACATCTGTCCACATCTGCCGCGGCAGGCACCTGGAATGGCTGGCCAGGGCCCCACGCCCGTGCACCGCCTCACCTACGGCCCGGGGAGAGGGAGAGGGAGCGAAGGCACTGTCTGTGGCTCACCTCCACTTCATGATCCTCCAACGCGTCTGCTTTCGGCTGCTCCTCGAGTCTAAGAGTAAAACGGGGTTTGTCAAGGAGACCCCGAGGGTGGGCCACTCCGCTCTCCGCTGGGCTGGGGACTGATTCCCATGTGAGGTCTGAGAAAAGGCCACCAGGCTTGGAACCTTACTGTGACCCACCTGGGAAAGGCAGTCTGGATGCTGTGGAAACAAGTCAGGAGGCCGAGGACCAGGTCCCAATTCCCTTCTCCAGACAAACCCGAGGGGTGGGCAGTGACCACCAAGTCCCTTTCAAATCTGACAACCACTATGGGGGTTCTGACACAGCACAGAACTCGACTTTCTCCTTGAGAACTGGTTCTGTCACATCCTAGCTGTGTGACTTTATGCAATTTCTTAACCTCTCTGAGCTGGCTTCAATACCTACTTGGGAACACGAGCCAGGTGCTCAGCATGGCCTGACACTGAGAAAGGGCTCCATAAGCAGGAGCTATTTTTAGTAGTTTCACTAACTCTGAGTGCCCTTTGCCCCCTCCTCCTGGGTCAAGTTTAGAGCCCCATCCAATGCTGACTGCGCCAAAAAGAGGCTAATAAAACCCCTCTGAGTTCATGGGCCCGGAGGGCGAATTAGCCCCAGGTTTGCCCTCTGGCTGGCAGGTACACAGCAACATGCAGAGTGGGAGGTCAGAGATTTAAGGGGTGGGTGGGGGGAGATCAGGGATGTAATCCAGCTGTCACAAGTCCCCAGGGAGGAGAAAGGGAACTCAGCACAGGCATGCCTACCGGGTACTGTCTGCTGCGTCGGGGCACGGGGCTGCCGGTGGACATGTTGAAATGTCTGGAGGAAACAAAAACAAATACGAAGAATGAGACCACCTTCCCACCGCCCTGAAAGACAGTGCTTACACCGAGGGAACTGGCTCTCCCCCAGCAGCCCCTCACGGGGTTCCACGCGTGTTCCCCAGGCCCTTTCCACGAGGCCCACCTTGTGCTTTTCCTAAAACTGAACCTGAATGCAGCCCCTGCAGCACTTGGTTTGTCCCTAACGGGGACCCCCGGTGGCCAGGAAGTTGAGACTTCTCAGTGAATACCCCTCCCCTGTGCTCCAACTGCCTCATACAAGCAAGTGGCGAAAGCAAGCTGGGCTTCTGTTTACTGGATGCGGGCCAGACCTCCTGCTGGGTCGGGAGGCCGGGCTGGTTGAGGACTCCTTCACTCAGCCCAGCACCTGGCGCCCGGCACAGTGGCTCGCAATTTCTGGCGGAAGCTAGAGCCCCGCCCCCTCGGCTTCCGGTCTGACCCGCTGGTGGACAGCTCTTGGGGAGAAGAAGTGCACAGTCCACACTCGAGCTGGGGCTGACCCGAGCCCGGGGTCTTCCCGGTCTTAGCACTGGAAGCTGCACAGGGGACACCAGACAGAGGGTCACCCCAGGGTGAAACCCATGTGTTCCAGGCCAAACCCTCCTCAGCTACTCCTGCTGCCCGCCCCTTTCTTTTCCCCAGCCCCTCCAACAGCTCCGCGGGAGGCAGGCTGCAGCTAGCAGTGACTCAGGCTAACCAGCGGCCTCCCCTCCTTCTAGGACAGAGCCTCCCCGTCAGCCACCCCACCGCCCTCAGCTCCCCTCCAGGGCTTTCTCCAGGCTACCCCTGAAGGTCATTTAAACCACAGGTTCTCGACCTCTCTGGAACCTCACAGACTTCAAGAACCTGCGGGAGGCCATGAGGAAATGCACACATGCACCCAACATCCCGTGTGTGGTTCCTGGGGACCCCAGGCCCTGCAGGGCACTGCCGAGGCCTCCTCCTCCTCCACCACATCATGGCCGCAGACCGCCAGGACGGCCCACCGTCTCTCCCACCCAGCACTACGCAAATGTGCCCACAGAAGAAAAATAGGCTTGGGGTGGGGTGTTCAGGGAGAAGCAGCACCCCGGGAGGAAGGGCAAAACGTCCCTAAAGCTGTATACTTGCCCTTAAACGTTAAGAGTATACTTTGCGTTCTGCTCTAAAACGTGTCCATGTTTATTTTAATAGAAATACAGTTTCCTCCCCTCCCCACAACGTATCTTCATGGCAAAATGGACCCTTCCTGAAGAAGAGGGGTACTGCCCTGGATGCCATCCTGGAGCCGGTAACCAGGGAGGATCCGGAGGGAAACCACAGCTGTACTGGGACGAAACCACACAGGCGGCCCGGGGAGCTGCCCTGACCACGGCAGCCTGCACACGCCTCAGAGGGGCCTCTGGAAACTGCTAAATGCTCCAAGTCACTCCCCTAACACAGCTGTGTTGGGTACAGAAAAGCCTGGAATAACCAAAATACCATGACTTTGGCACAGACCTGTTTAACCCAGGGAAAAAAACAATTAGCTACACTCTTTGTCTAAAACACAGAGCACCTTCACATGGCTAAATTAAGATTTAAAGTTGCAGATTACTTACAATGCTTGTCGCCTTCAGCTATTGAGGACTGATCGTATAAATGCCTTAGGGGCAGGAATGTAGTCAAATGCAAAGACTGGCACATAGTAGGTGCGCAAAACAGTTTTTGTGGAAGGGGATCAATGAATGACTGTTTTACTGGATTGAAAATTTTTTTCTTTAAACTTTCTTCTTTAAGGAGGCATTGCCAATAAATGGCCAGCAGATGGTGCTGTGCAACAAGGCTCTGGAGGGTGAAGCCCAGTGAGTAAGTGAAGCCTCCAGACCTTCCCGAACTGCCTTTCTTCCCTGAGAGAGAGCAGCAGTTTCTTGTCATTGTGCAGAGGAAGGTATCAGGACAGATGCTCCTAAGGCATCAGCAAAAAGTCCTCTCCCCCATTATGCAAACTTAGTTTCTGCCACCTCCTGGCTGTGTGACCCTGGACAAGTGGCCTATAGTCTCTGTGCAAGAGGCTGGGCAGGATGGGTGCCAAAGTCCCTCCCAGCACGTCACTGCCCCTGTGAAGTCTACCACTCACCCCGCCCCCTCTTCCAGCTTCAAGAGACAGGAAGCTCTCAAAATAGGTGGGTATGCGACTCAAGCACCTCCCAGGAGCCCAAGGCGAGGGTGCCCAGGTGGGCTGGAGAGAGGGGTCGCAGCAAGGGCAGTTAGTGGAACCATGCAAAGAACTCACCTGGAAAGATAAACTGTTGTCTGTGATGAATGAAGTAGGCAGCTTTAAACAGAAGAGGAGGTGAGTCACACACAGAACAGCAAATGAAGCAAAGGGGAGGAACACAGGCATGGGCTTGGGAGGGAGGGTCTGGTTATGGGGCTGGGGCAGGTATGCCCCATGTGGGCCTGGCCAGGACCGGGTGATCATGCAGGGAGGAGGAAAAAAGCTGGGAGAAAGCAGGTGTTGGCAGGAGCCCCAGAGCGAAGGGGCTTGCACGGGGACTGGGGCGCAGAGACCCCGTCTCCATGGCCACCTTGCTGCAGAGCCCTGGGCCGTTCTGTTCACCTCCCAGGCCTGCTTCTCTGTGAAATGTGCAGGAGCCCAGGAGAAAAACAATGATTCTGAGAACATTTAACCGTGGTGCTGAGCCTTCCGAGACTCGACTTCACCATCCAGGAAAAAGAAATCCTCTCTTAAAAATAAGTTATGGGACTCGCTTGGGTTCTAAACTTCGTCACATCATGTGCTAACCCCAGTTCTGCCATTTATGAGGCTCTGGGACCTTGAGAAGTTGGTTGATCTCTCCAGTTGTACTGTAAAACGCGGTATTAATTAACCTTTCCCCAGGTTTATCCTGGAAGATAAGCTGAAATGCCCCTGCACAGAAGAGTGGGTGGACGGAGGAGTTTCTTCCCCAGACAGACCCCCCGCCAGCCCAGCCCCAGGCACTGCCGTGACCCACAGATAACAGGACCTGGAGAGAGAGGGCTCTGTGCAGAGGACAATGCGGGCCCAGCCCGGTGACATCAGAGAAAGCTGAGACTACGGCTGACATCACAAAAAGGACTTTCTCTGTGGCTTTTGTTTTTCAAACAGGTCCTTCCTTTTAGAGAATCCCAAACTGGCAGGTTTAGCAAAAGGCCCAGTGTCAGAGCCTATTAATGACAAAGCAGACTGGGAGAGGGGTTAATCAAATAGGCCATCACTTATCGGCAGGGAGGGGATGGGGCCAGGACGATGCATTAACGTCAGGAGATACGTAGCCACGTGCATATTAAGGTGAAGGGACAGCAAAACAGAAAAATGATTCCTACAAAATCTCAGCCTCGCACCATCCCCCAGAGAAGTCCCTGGAATCCTGCTGAGAAGGTCCCAGAGAGGTTGCCAGGCTCCCCGCTGGCTGCGGGTGGCCCCAGCTGGGGGTCTCTTGGCACAGGAAGAGCTGTAAGTCTGTCCTCCTGGGCCTGGAGCCGCAGGAGCTGGTGACAGGCCGGCCTGACCTGGACCCCACGGGCGGAAGCTGGCAATGGGCCTGTGGCTGGGCCCGGAGCATCCTGGCGGCCCCTCCGCAGCCCCTCCTTCCTCCAGCTGCCAACTGAAATACACTGCAGGCCAAGGGTGCTGCCAGGAGCTGCCAGGGAGGCCAAGGCCACGGCTCCGTCCTCAAGTGGACAAGTGGGCTCCACTCCTCCCCCTGGGGAGGCAGGACACCCAGCCTGGCCAAGAGGGAGGGGTCCTGGTCCCACAGAGCGCAGGGCAGCCTGGGCTGTGGCCGAGTCAGGTCAGCGCTGGCCAGTCTGCTCCAGCATGAGACCCCTGTGGGACTCAGTATGGTCACCGACACACAGGGTAACCTAATTCCAGCTTCACTGGGTCTCATTCTATGGCAAAGAGAACAAACACTTCCGTTCACGGAGCTTGTCCAGAGCTCGGGGCAGGTCAGTGACTGCGGCCAGGATCCCTCTCCCGGCCCTTGTGGTCTGCCCTGGCTCCCTGTGCCGCCGGCCAGGCTTCCTGGGAGCTCAGCAGCCCTGAGTGGGTGAGCAAGGCCCAGGAGAAGCCAGGCGTGTACAGCATGGGGATGATGTCGAGAACACAGGCTTCATGGCAGACAGACTCGGCTTTGATCCTGGCTCTACTGTTTACAGGCTATACAGCTTGGGCAAGCCACTTCCTCTCTCCAAACCTGGTGTTCCCATCTGTAAAATGGGTGCAATAAGAGCATCTACCTCAGAGCTGTTATCAAGTTTCAACACAGTGATGTACTTCAGCTCAGCACAGCGCCGGGCTCCCCGCAAGTACCCTTACTGGCTGCAGAGCTTGACCTTTAGCCGCTGCGGTGCGCTGAGAAGGGCAGGGGACCCCATCCCTAAGAGCCCCAAACAGCCCAGAGGTGTGGTACCTGGGAAGTTGAACCTGCTGTCCCGCTGGCCAGGTGAGGGGTTGGGGGGCGTGGTGGCACTGGGTGGGTTGGACGATGTTGGGAAGGGAGCCGGCGAGGAGGGTGTGGAGGACGTGGTGGAGGACGGGTTGCTGCTGGAGTCCAGGTGGTTCATGGCCGGAGGGTGCTCCTGCAGGACCAGAGACATGGGAAGTGGGCAGGGGCTGTCACTGCCCCGCCGGGACCCTCCCTTCCACACGGAGAAATGAAGAGGTCAGCCCCGGTCTCCTGACAGTTTACCGGTCTAAGGTTTGAAGGAAGAATGGCACATTGGATCCTCTCCTCAATGCCCGTCCCCTAGAGGACTCTCCTGCTCATCTTATTTCACCTCAAACACACTTTCCTCTTGGAAGCCTTTCCTGAGCCCTGCTGGGACCACGCTCCTCCTCGTTACCCTCCCGCGGCTGCCACAGCCCCCGGCACTTCTCCTCAGGGCACCTGCTCCGCGGTCTGCCCACTGCGGGTCCCCTGGGTGGCTCTGTGAAGAATGTCTCTCCCCGCACTGAGTCGTCCGGGGGCAGGGGCCACGCCTGCTCACCAGACACCCAGTGCCGGCTCTGTGCCAGCACACAGTAGGGTTTTTTTATCCTCACCTGAGGACATTTTTTGATATTTTGTTCAGATAGAGTGGGAGGGAGAGAGAGAAACATCGACGTGAAAGGGACACATGGAGTGGCTGCCACCTGCACGACCCAACCAGGGCCGGGGACAAACTGCAACCGAGGTACGTGCCCTTAGCGGGAACTGAACCCGGGTGTCTCCGGACCGCAGGCCGACGCTCTAACCGCTGAGCCAAACCGGCCAGGGCCACAGTAGGGATTTTAATGGATTACATTCAGCCGCTGACGAGCACTTGTGCAGTGTGGTGACAGCAGAGTTGACAGTGCTCCCTCCGCTCTTCTCAGACCACCAGTGTTCGGGCCCAGAAGGCCCAAGGACCACCTGAGAGACGGGTCCAGGGAGGGTACTGAGTCTGTTAGGTGGTCACTGTCCCAGGCACAAACATCAGCGGGTGGGGGAGGAATTCCTTGGTCAAAAAGTTGGGTCAAACGCTAACTTTAACAGGTTTCTCCCCTGCGGGCCCTAACAGCTCTGGGTGTGCAGCAGACTCTGAATCCACTAAGCTGTGCACGGGGCCTCGCTGCCCAGGGACAGTCAGCACTGCCTGGCGCCGAGCTAAAGAGAGGGAGGGAGCTGCACCCACTGAGACCTCATCACCCCTGATCCCGCTCCAAGGCCAGGACCCTCCGTCCTGGTCTGGGCCGGGCAGCCAGGGCAGGGGAGTGGCTACGAGGCAGGCTTGCACCCCAGCGCCTCTCCTCCACACAGCACCCGTGTGAGCCTGGCCGAACCACCCCACCTTTCTGAGCCAGTGTGTCACCTATAAAGCTGAGGTGTTAGCTGATGCCTCATGGGGTTGCTCATCTGCTCAACACTCAGTACAAACACTGCCCCTGCCTATGGTGTGCCAGGCACCAAGGCAGGCGTCAGGGCCCAGCAGGACGAAGACAATGCGGCCCGGCCTCAGAGCTCTGCAGGGGGTGGGGCACGGACAGGAAACGGTGACCGCCTGTCAGGCGTGATCAGTGCTGGAAAGAGAGTGTGCGGCCAGGGGCCTGGGCCCGAGGCCCCGTCCGGGCTTCCCTGAGGACAGGGATGGTGTGACTTCTGGGAAGAGAGTTCCAGGCACAGCCTGTCTGAGCGAGGGTGGGGGAAGGGCGGCCAGAGGGCTAGAGAAGAGGTCAGAGAGACAGGCCAGCGCTTGAGAGACAAATGGGATAAACACGGCCCTGAGCACAATGCCTGGCACCTGGTGAGTTATGACAGCGACCATGAATGGGGTATGGAAAGGCCGACACCCGGCCACAGCTCTCAGTGAGCCGAGACCCAGCTCTGTGTTGGGTAAGGGCCGAGCAGGTGCGGGCAGAGGGGCTGGTGGAGGAGGAGGGACCCTGAGTGGGTTTCGAGAACTGACAGGAGGGTGAGGGGTGGGAGTCCAGGTGGGTGGAAATGCATGCGTGTGCGTGCCAGGGTGCGGGTGGACACGAGGTGAGTGAGGGGTGTGCGAGGCAGGGTGCACTTCGTGGGGCTGGAGAGAGTGAGCACGTGCAGAAACAAGCTGGTAAGATGGGGAGTGGCCAGGGGACTCGGCACCCCACCGAGGGACTGCGCCCATCTGGGACAGGCTGGAGATGGACACAGTGACCAATGGTCCTGCTCCTGGCAAGCAAGTTCCTGAACATTATCTTGTTACCCTCACAGCACCCTGTGAATGAGGGTTATCCCCCTTTACAAACTAGGAAAACTGAGGCTCAGAGAGGGAGAGTCACAGAATAAAGGGAACCGTCAGGACTCGAACTCAGGACTGTGGATCCTATCATCTCCCCATTCCCCTCTCCATTCCTGGTGGGAATGCCATCATCAGAGGGACAACGTGACGCCAGGTGAGAGGCAGGAGAGGAGACACGGACCCATAAGAGATACCAGGTCTGTGGCAGCTGGCCTCCTGCTTGACAGTAACAAGTGGCCCTGGACTCTCCCGGGGCAGCCCCCAAGCTGCATGTTCAGGGTCCTCGCTGTTAACTGGCCATGCTACCTGCCTCTGTTCCCTCCCGCCAAACCTCCACCCAGGCTGGCCCAAGCCACTGAAGGCCAGACACAGCCCCGTCACCCGGCCCCTCTACAGGGAGGCGAGTACATGCTAAGCCCTAGTCTGGGGCTGGGACGGAACATGCTTGAAACAGCCACACCCACAGCGCCCTGGGCGAGGCCACCACTCCGTGGTCACCAGGTGAGGTGGCCGTCAGAAGCCATCAGCACGGGTGCCTCCTAGACACCACGAACACCTGTGCACGGGGCCATGACAGGTCTGCAGACCCTCAGTGGGGACACAGGCCTGGAGACTGCCCAGCTGCAGAGGGCGCCTGTTTGCACCGGCAGAGAGGCCCGGCCCGGCCCCGTGAAGAAATGCACGTATGGGGGCTGGGCTGTCTCACTCACAGGGCTTCCTCTTCTGTAAAGTGGAGGTGATGTCATCATGAGCCTTTAGAGCGACTCGGAGGGTCAAAGGAAACACCACTGGGAAAAGTTCCTGACTCACAGTCAGTGAAATATCGGCTCGAAAAGGGAAGAGGCATGCAACTAGAAATGTGAAGTTTGCTAAATGGCTAAAGATAGGATCCCTGGAAGCCACCCTCTGGCCACAGATCCGGGTTGCATTGTCATGCTGGGCCTCTGCATTAGGGGCTTTACAGAGAGGAATCGGGGGGCGGGGGGCATCTCCTGGCAGAAGCAACAGACCCCCCCAGGCCAGTGTCCAACGTACCTTCTTTGTCAGTGCTTTGGGAAGGGTTCCAAAATGAGGTTCGGCTGCTCTGTCCACGGGGTTGTTGATGTCCGAAGGGACAGATTCTGTCCTCCGAATCCTAGCCACTGAAGAGAGGGGAACCCATCAGCAGGGAACAGACTGCGCTAAGGAAAGACTCACCCCAGATTCAGAAGGCAGAGGAGAGAAAGCGCAGCTCACTCACTCGGAAGGAAGGATATTCTGCAGGCGGGGGCTTCTTTTGTGCACTTGTTGTGACACTTCAACCTGGGAAAGAACATGGGGTCAGTGCGTGGACGGCCACCCGCTTCCCTGGGCGCGGCTGGGGCAGCAGCACTGCCTGGCAGCCCTGTGCAACTCCCCCGCTGCTCCGGTCCCCACAAGTCTCTCCACGAACAGTGGCTCAGAATGTAGAACTGATGGTAACAGCACGAGCAGCTCTGTCTGCTGAGGGTCACCACATGCCCGCTGCCACCTGCCCGGTCCTCAGAGTAAGGAGGGCTCCGTTAGACCCACGGAACTTGTCACATGTGGGTCGCACATGTGGTTCTCTTTTCTAGAGAAGAGAGACCCTTCGCCCGCGTCAGAAAGCTCCAGAGGAATCTGAACTTACAAAATAAGGTGAGCCAGAAGGAGAATGTCTGCACCACCAAAGGATGCCCCGGGGGTGCAGGGGCAGTCCCTCCGGCTGCATTCCAGCTCGGACCACGTGGTCCGGGGGTCAGCAGGGCGGGGCAGGATGGAAAGGGCCGGGTGCTGGCTGGGTCCTGCCCGCTGCACTGTGTGTGGGGCTCTCGCTGTAGCATGGGCCCCTACCAACCTCACTCTGCAACTGCGGTGCGGGGCTCGGGAGTCACCCTCCCCACACGGAAGGCTCTACCTGAGAGGGAGCTGGAGGCCCCCAGTTTAAAGCCAAATGGCCAGGAGCCACAGCAGACTACACTGAGAGGAAGCTCTGACATCCCCTCGGTGGTCAGGAGAGTCGTCAGGAAAACACAATTTGTCCAGCTGACACGGGCGGGACCCACTGCCTATGGTCTCGCGGGAACCTGCCTGTTTTACTCACACTAGCTCAGGTGCCTGGACCAGTCCTGACGGAGGGACCTGGAATCGTCTCCCCAGATGTATACGTGACACAAAAAAAAAAGTGCCCAGAAAGGGCAAGCACCTTCCCCAGGTCACAGCAACGCAGGGCAAAGCGGCGGGAGCAGAGACCCCAGGTCCACCCTCTGTGAGGAGAGGCCAGACTGTTCCCACCGCACTGTCCCCTGTCCTCTTCCCCTACCGAAACCACAATGGTAGGAAAAAAGAAAGTTGGATTTGTACAGAATTTGCATTCTTTCCTTCTCTGTGTCCACGCGCCGTCTGTTCCTCCCACTGTCTGTCCCTGTTTCCTATCTCTTGTGTGCTAAAATGTAAGGCTAATTTCAGAGCGTCTTAGTTTCCCCAGCAGTCCTCCCGTTCCTCTCTGCCTTTGTACGAGATCCTCCCTTGGCCTGGAATTCACTTTCCCCCTTGGGCCACCTGGAAAACTTCTGTTCATCCTGCAAAGCCCACCTCAAATATTCCCTTCTTCTGGGAGTGCCTTGCTTGATGCTTCCTTAATCTCCCTAGAGAGGGCTGATCACTCCTTGGTGTGCTGAATGGGACCACGAATGGTAGGTTTAGGAGAACCCTTTAAGCTCTGACTGACCTAAGGCCAATAATCAAGGAGCAGGACTGTGACTAAATGACAGGTGTGCCGCTGGTTCCCCCTCCCACCCCTGCCACCCTCCACCCATCACCTGCAATGCTTGCACTTCACTCCAAACATCATGCTCTTCTGGCAGACATGGCAGACCTGCGACAGCCAGGACTTGGTGGAGAACCTGCGGGGCGGGCACACAGAAACACTCGCGTGGGCCAGGAGACCAGGTCCGGGGCAGAGAAGGGTCCCGATGAGCCTAGGGAACCAGGAGCCCCTGGGAGGGGAGGGGCACCCAGGGCCCACTGCCTGCCGCCCCCCATTCAGATTCCCAGCCACATGCCCTGGCCAGTTTTGCTCAGTGGTTAGAGCATTGGCCTGCAGACTAGGGAGTCCCGGGTTCAATTCCAGCCAAGGGCATGTACCTCGGTTGCAGTTTGTCCCTGGCCCCGGTTGGGGTCATGTGGGTGGCAACCAACTGAGGTGTCTCTCTCACATTGATGTCTCTCTCTCTCTCTCTCTCTCTCCCCCTCCCACTCTGTCTGAAGATAAACATAAAAATATCTTCGGGTGAGGATTAAAAAAAAAGATTTCCCAGCCTCAAAGTTATCATTGTCAAAATCCCAAAGTTGGTGTGGTCTCTAGCAGGTGACTTGGCAACAGCAACCAAAAGGGCAAGTGTGCAGACCGTCTGACCCAGCAGTCCCAGCCTTAGGACTGATCCTACAGATTCTCCCACAGATGTCAAGTGACGCACGGACAAGGTTACCGGGTGCAGCACGTGTAGCTGTGAGCCGGGAAACTACCCGCACTGTCGAGGAGTCTCGGGAATGGACAAGTACGGTCCACCAGGCAGCTGAGCACCAGGCAGCCCGAAAATGAACAAGGATGTTCTTGTGCAAATAGGAAATGATCTCCAAATTACAGTGTCAGTGAACAAAGGAAGGTGTGCCACGGCATGGTTCCACTGATACGGGTAAGTACAAGAAACCCTGATCCAGGGCGACAGGTGTGAACAGCGACCTCCGGGTGGGCCAAAGAGAACTTGCTAGGGCTGGAACACTCTGAATCTGCACCCGGGTGCACAAGGGTGTACAGATTGCGCCTCAATTTAAAAAGGGAAATAAGGCAAAGTGAGGACAGCGCGCACAAGGTGTGAAAGTGAGGAAGGAGCGGGAGAACCACATTCGCACTGGCTTGTATCCGAACATCTCCAGGGAACACAAGGAGCCTGCGATCTGCCTGTGGGGGGAACTGGCGACGGAGCAGGAGGGGGCTCCCCAGCATGTACACCTTTACACCTACGGAATTCTGAACGTATGCATGTATTTCAATCCAAACAAAATCAAAATAAAAAAAAAACTGAAAAGCACAATAGATGGATGGGAAGGCAGGGTGGGGGTTGAGGGGGTGGTGTTCTCCAGAGAACAAGGCCAGAGCCAGCCCAGGGGGTGGTGAGGCCTAAGGGCAGAAAGAACTCAGTTTGGAGGAATCGATTTCTAAAAGCACAGTATATCAGAGTGACCAGCAGAACAAACAGCAGCCGTATTTGAGCAGCAGTCTGTAATGCGTCCATAAATTAGCTCATGCAATTCTTAAACCACCCCTGGGAGTCAGGCAGCTCCAGGATTCTTAGTCCACAGGTAAGGACACCAGCCCAGAGGTTAGGTGACTCTCCTGAGGTCGGAGTTGGGATGTGGTGCAGTGGAGGCCGGACCCCAGGTCTGACCTCAGAGCTACACGGCTCGCTGTCCTGCTGGTCGTCGGGCCCACATCAGCCCTTCCCAAGGTGTGTGAGTGCCAGTCACTGGAGTTGTTGGAAACCCAGATGCCAGGCCGAGAACCTCAGGGATGAACTCAGAAGCTCTCGGCTCCTTCTCCCCGAGACTGTGACTCTTCTCTCCTGGGACCTTAGTTTGCCCTCAGCAGACTGAGGAAGAGACCCAAGGAGGTGCAAGGGAGGGCCCGACAAGTCCATGTGGCCACAGGGGACAGGCAGGGTTCCAGAGTGCAGGGCTGCGTCCACAGAGGTGACAGGTGATAGAGACAGAACAAACAGAAGCCAAGAGCCCAGAGAGATGAACCGCAATCCCGGCATGTGCGCGTCCCAGCCCAGCTGGGCCTACCTGTGTGTCACCGAGAGCCCGATGTCCCTCCGTACCGTCTGTGGGGACCCGTGCGGGAGATCTGCAGGGAAAGAGGCCAGGTCAGGCGGGCGGAGGAAGCCCTGCAGGGACAGCCTGTGCCTGCAACCTTCTAAGTCCGAGATCACAGGCTAGATGGGCAGGAAAACTTACTGAACGGCAGAGAAACATCCCTGAACCTGCATCTATCAAAACAAACAGGACAGGCTGGACCAAGGGGCGGCATGGTCACCCTCACATGTGGCCTGCTGCCCTGGAGTTTCCGCCTGTGCCCTGGGGAGAGGGAAATGCATCCTCCCTCCTCCCCACCCTCCGCCTCCCCGGTGGTCCTGCAGCCAGCTCCATGTGGCCAAGTCAGGGCCTGATATCCCCTCCTCATCACTCTGCTCGGCCAGCTCAGGACAGGACAAAAATAAACTGCTGTTTTGCTCAGGCAAAACCCAGATACGTCTGCAGCTCCACCGGGACAATTAGAAGCAGCAGAGGATGCCGTTTCCTCCGCTCTGACTCAGAAGAGAGAAGCCCCTGCTGCCAGCCTGGAGGTGGAGGGGTGGGACAGAGAACGGAGCTGCCCGCTTCCTCCGCCCCTCCCACGGCGGCGAACCTCTCGGGGCCGCGCTCAGAGGCGAGCTACTTCCCTGCCTCCAAGGACATCCCTCTCCTGAAGAGATGGGTCCCGAGACGGCAGCGGGGGTCTGTGGATGGCTGAGGTCCACCTACACCAACAGGGGAACCTCCCCCCCAGGAGTTTGGGGTGCCCACGGTGGCCCAGCAGGTGAATACTCCCTGCCGGAGGTCACCTTCGGGGAGGGCAAGGTGCAAAGAGGGCCTGCCGCGGGGACCGCGCAGGACTGGGACACCCTCGGGGTCTCTGCTTCACAGAGCAGCTGTCGGCTGGGCGGAGGCCAGCTCGTCCTGTGAAGGCCACCAGTCCCCGAGTTTTCTCCCGGGGGAGCTCCCAGCACCTGTGCTTCTGGGCTATGGAAATGCCGAGTACTGAGAGGGGTCAGGGAAATCCACCCCCGATGGGGACAGCGGCAGAGAAACAGCTCCCCGAGGCAGAGGGGACGAAAATGAATCACTCTTACCAAACCTGGAGAAGACAAGAGAGAGAGAGAGCAGGATCAGGTCACCGTGCTGGCTTGGCGGGCCCCCCAGAACGTCACCCCTTGGGAGGGAGTGGGCTGAGGCTCTGAGCACCGAGGGCTGGGGCGAGGATGGCCGAGCGGGTGGGGACGTTCCCTCAATGGGAAGGGCTAGAAGGACTCGGAGCCCGGGCCAAGGCCAGCCCACCAGCTGTGGGGTCTGAGGCACTGGTGTCATCTGCCCAAGACTGTTCTCTGCCTGGAGCCAGGATGAGACCAGAGCCCCCCGAATGCTCTTTTGAGGAGGAAATGAGCAGCGGACGCCCCGGGTTTTGCCCACGGACATGCTCTCTGATTCACCCACACCCATGTGTGCGCACAGCAGTTCTCACTGTGCTGAGACGAGGGTCAGTGGGGGAAGGCTGCAGTCCCTGCGAGAGGGGTGTGTGGGGGGGCAGTCTAGGCCCCAGCAGGGCAGCAGGACCAGGATTTCTCTCCGTGGGTGACATACTCAAACCCACCAGAGATGTGCAGGATCCAGGGGAATGAGTCCACCCAAGACCAGGAAAGGGGTGTCCATGTCAGGAAAGAAGCCAGCCCTCAGGTGTAAGGTAACAGGGACCCAGAGAAGGTTCTCTCCTCCTCTGCCCTGCCCACAGGGGTACAGTGACAAGAGCAACTTTTGTAATAGCACAATGATGAACTCAATGTCCGTCAAGAGGGGAGGATTTAGTTACACTAGGCAATGGAATGATGTGAAAATATGAAGAGGAAGTGTTTGTTCATTATAAATATATACGGAACTAATAGCCTGGTTGTCCCTGAAAGGGGAGCTGGGTGACTAAGAAGAGATGGCAGAGGGTCAGTTTACACTATACACCCCACAGAGATGGATGAACTCCAAGGGCTACGAAGCTTTTGCATTTTGGACTATGTGACCATTATTACCTGTTTAAAATACATAAATAAGAAATTTAAAAAGTAACACAGTAAGGTATTTCAAGAGGCACTGACATGAAGTTCTCAGGGATACCAAGGAAAGTTGGAAAAACAGCTTCTAGAACAGAGGACATGGTTTCCATCATCATTAGAGAGAGCCCATTCTCCTCTGGGCACAAGGGAGAGTTACAGTTCTTGGTTCCTGTGTCTGGTAGGATCACGCATGGTGAGTGGCACTCGCAGGAAGAGCGTTTAATTGCTAGTGTGTCACATCTAACATCTTTCTTCCTCTGCCACAATGGAATGTTCCAGACAGTGGCTGTTCCATCAGCCTGGGACCTAGAATGAGGCTGACCCATGATGGACAGGTAGCATGAGCAAGAAATAAATGTGTGTTAAGACTCAGAGATCTGGGAGTTATTTGTCACTGCAGCATAACCCAGTCTACCCTGACTGATACATAACATCATTTTGTGTGTGTGTGTGTGCGCGTGCGCATGTGTGTGCATGAACTTGTAAGCAAATCTAGTAGGATCCAGCCCAAGCTGCTGAAGCAGTCTGGGGAACAGGCTGAGAGGCAGGAGCACCCTTCGCTTTTCACTGTGTATACTTATATATTAGTTGATGTTATGTTCTTTTCCAATTTGGCCTATGTTGCCTTCATAATGAGAATGCTCTGGTCAACACGTTCAGTGGAGGACACATCCGGCACGTGTCTGGCAGGAACGCTCACCTCATAGGGGAGACCTCGTCGATGCGGTTCCCCAGCTGGGACTCGTGGGACTTGCTCCGGGTGAGCGTGGGGAAGCTGGGCAGCAGCTGAAAGACCTTGCGGCTGGGTGGGGGCGGCGTCCTCGGCGGCTTCCGTCGGAGCTGCGGCGTGGTTGGGGGCGTGATGAAGCTGTGCAGGGCCCGGGGCGTCAGCCGGCCGCTGGTGTGCAGGGGGATACAGGTGTCCGTGAGGCCCTCGCTGGGGCCAGAGGCTGGGAAGTCTGAGGTGGGCAGAGCTGACACGGAGACGGAGCGTGGGCCCTGGGCACTGCTGCCCATCCTGCCCAGCTGGGAGCTCCCCGGGGGCCAGTGCAGGCTGGCCGGTGAGAGGGTGTCCATGGAAGACCCTGAGCCACTTTCCCGTCGCGCATCCAAAGGACTCCAGCCCGAGTCCTCTTTGTGCTCCCTTCCTGTGGGCCAAGAAGTCAAGTCACAGAAGGCTGGGGCTAGAGAAATAGGCAGGGGAGGTGGCCAGGGCTCAGAGAGGCTGAACACCTCGTCCAAGGCTGCACAGCTCCTTCACGGAAGGCTTCAGTGACCAGCCTTTACCTGGTGACAAAGGCCTCCCACACGCGCACCATCTTCCACCTTTCCTAGCCGACCACGAGCCACCAGCGTGGGTCTTACTGGCCCCGTTTACAGAGGGAAAATGAGGACCAGCGGGGCTGGCTCATGCAGGGCTCCTGCCGGCAGGGCTGGGGGAGCCAGCAAAGCCAGCCCCGAAGCGGGCAACTTCACAGAGGGAAGTGGTAACCGATCTCTGAAGAGTCAGGAAAGAGAAGCTGGGGTATGTAGAGGGATAACTCCACTGTGAGAAAATTCAAAGGTCAGGAGAGGGGGCCATACCAACCTTCCAAGAATTGCCCTGGAAATTTGCTAGAAAAGAAATCCAGCTAACAAGGAGTCAACAGCTACTTGCTTACGAGAGGAGCCAGCGAATGACTTCCAGCTGCCCCCACCGTGACCCCCTGCCCGAGGCTGCTGAGACCGCGAGGCGCTGTGGGGTTCCAACTCAATGGCACCGTCTGTCCATTCATTCAAGCACATGCCGCACACTGGGGTAGCAAGGCACAGAGCAGACACATCCACCGAGCCTGAGGAGTCCAGTGAGGATGACAGACACTCAACGCAGCGAGCTGTGTGCTGACAGAGACGGACAGGGACTGGGGAGCACAGAGGAGGACGCTAAGCAGCCAGGGGAGGAGGGGCCTCCTGGAGGAGGTGGCCCCTGGGCTGAGCAGCTAGGGCAGAGGTGGGTGGAGCAGGTGTACCAGGCAGAGGGAGCCGCACACGCACAGGCAGGGAATACTCGCAGTACCTCCTGATAACTACTAAAGCTCCCAGTAACTACTTTCCTCTTTTTTTTCCCCCACTTTTTCTTTTTTTTTTTTTTAATCCTCACCCAAGGACATTTTTGCATTTATCTTCAGACAGAGCAGGAGGTAGAGAGAGAAACATCGATGTGACAGAGACACATCGAGTGGTTGCCACCCACATGACCCCAATTGGGGCCAGGGACTAACTGCAACGGAGGTACGTGCCCTTAGCAGGAACCGGACCTGGGTCTCTCTGGTCCGCAGGCCGACGCTCTAACTGCTGAGCCAAACTGGCCAGGGCATCTCCTCGTAACCACTAAAGCTTCTGATAACTACTAAGAGTTCCATGCACTCTGAGGTCAGGACAAGCCAGGGAGACATAAGAGATGAAGTGAGAGGGTCCATCTACCTGGGGCCAGCCCAGGAGGGACCTTGGATGTCTTCCTCTGGACTTTAGTTTTAACCTCACAGAAGACGGGAAGATACTAAAGGGGTGGGGACCGGGAGCAAGGACCCCACGTAGGGACCGTGTTGTGGGGAAGAAGACACCTCTCTCCTCATATTTATCGATGAGTAGAAAGTACAGGAAGGTGGATTACGACTCAGGACAGAATGAACCTCTACCCTGGAATCCCACTCTGTGCTTTGTACCCTGTCTCTCCCCCATCCTCCCAGCATGTGAGGTCGCCGAGATGCAGGGGGGCCATGCACACTGTCGGGGTCAGCCAGCCAAGCAGGCAGTGGGGCGGGAACTTCGTCTGCTATCCTGGCCCCAGCACGGCCCCCTCCCACAAGGGTGTCAGTTCTGAATAACCTACAATGGCACAGCCTGGGGAGGTAGTGAGCTCTCTGTCATCAGAGGCAGTCAAGCCTAGCCCACACCGCCATCTATCAGGTAACGGTGGAGAGAGACTGGCCTTTGCCATTCTTAGGGCTTCTCTGTGAGTTCCAGCCCCTCCTCTAACACCCTTCCTCCTCCTCCGCTGCGTGGTGACTCTGCTCATGAATCAACGTGGCCGATGAGTTCCTTAGGCTGTGTTCCTTCCGCTCCTCTGAACTGCGGCCACTGCTTCCACACTAATTGGCAGCTGGCACAGATATGTTCACTGGTCAGGAGATGAAAGAATGAGCTCCATGGCTCCGCGGGTCCGTGGGTCAGTCTGTTACCAAAGGAAACAAGCCCCAAATTCTCCAACTTGCCTCCTGGCTATGACCACTGCTGTGAGCCAGCTCGGGACAGGCGGGCCTTGCTGACGTGCCAACACCCGCCCATTGGCTGTGGCTCTTGAGAATAACACTGCAGTCACTCGGTGGGAAAAGCTTGGGGACTGATGAGTGACGGGTGCCACGCATGAAGGTCAGGGATTATCAGTGGGCACGACAGCCCTGTTTACCAGCCCCTGGCACGGAACCATTCTTCACTCACTTTTCTTAATGCCAGAGACCACAAGGGAAATGACTTCAACATTTTCTGTCATACGACAGCCTAATACTGAACAGAGCACCTAACATGTCACAGGCTCTGTTCCGAGCACTTGCCGATAACTTACTTCATCCTCACAACCACCCTATGAGAGAAGTACTGTTATTACCTCCATTCCACAGATGAGGAAACTGAGGCACGTAGGGCTAAATAACTGACCCAGTTCCTACGGGTTGTAAACGGCTGAGCGAGGCCGCAACTAGGCTGCTGTCACCAAGCCCCGTTGGGCGCAACGCGGACTCTGCCTGCAGGATCCGAGACACGGGCGATCGCTGGCACCCGCCCGGTCCAGCAAACCCTTGAAGTGTGGCCACCGCTGCGCAGACCCATTTGTGTGGGGTGTAACCAGGAGCCTTTGGGAAATGCAAGGGCACAGTGGAAAAGGTGCCCTCTGGGGAAGAGAGCTGAGTTCCATGCCCAGCTCTGCGACGTGCCAGGTGTGGGAACCCAGACAGCTCGCCCAGTGCGACTAATGCTCTAGCGACCGAAGGAGCTTACCACCCCTCTCACAGGGTGTTGCCACATGTGTGTCAAATGCCTGGCTTAATAAATTAGTGCTTAATAAGTCAGTGATCTCCCTGCCCTGGCATCCAGGACAGGCAGGCAGCAGCCTCCTACCACACATGGGTCTCCAACACTCGGTAGCTGGTTCAACCACAGTTCTTTACAATTCGGGCCTACAGAGGGAGGGTTGACAAGTTACCCCAAGATTCCAGCTTGGGTGGCAAGTACTTTGCAATCTCCTCAACGGGGGAACAAACCAACCACCATCAAAGACTGAGGCTTAAATCCCCTCTGCCACCCACTGCCGTGTGTCCTTGGCCGGCCCTCTCTGGGCTCAGTCTCCGCCTCTGTAAAGTAAGGGACCAGATGTTGACGTCTGTGTCGCGTTGATCTCTGCACCTGCCAGGATGCCCAGCGCACGGAGGTTTTCTGAACGGAGTGAAGCTCTCCACAGTGGCTGTGTTCGGAGGAGGACTTGGTGCAATGGGGCCAGGGAAGAAATTAAGCTCAGTCCTCCATGACAAACAGTCCAGCAGGATACAAACCTCAGGGGCTTCCACAAGCCTCAGGCAGCCAGAGATAAGACAGGTGGCTCAGATAATTAAACAACGTGGCTAATTCCACTCATTAGGCTCGTTTCAAAGCCTTATCTGTGGGTTGGTAGGAGAGCATGAAAAGTCACCGTATTTGAAGCTGCTTCCCAGCAGGATCTAGAAAGCCAGCAATATTCCCCAGGGCCTCATCTGATGCCAGGGTCACACCCTTCGCCTGCGGCCTCTGTGCTCACACTCGGGGCTGAAACAACGTGCGCTTCCCCGAACCCTGCTTGCAGGCTGAGCCCACCGCAGTGAGTCCTTCTGAGCACACAGCCCAGCCAGCGATGAGGACAGGAGACATGGGGAGAGCGGTGAGCGGGGGTGGGGAGGGAGCTGGAATGCAGGGAGCCGCTGGAGGGTTCCCGGAGCCTAACAAATGTGCTCCGAAGAGGGGAACACATACAGGGCCGGCCCAGCAGGCCAGCCTGGGGTTCAAACAATGACTCAAGCTTCCCTGTGTCAGCACTGGCCCGGCCCGAGCCCCCTGACGTGGGGAGAGCCTCTGTCTCAGGTCAGGTTCATCACACACTTTCTGACCGTCCACCCTGGCCTTCCCACGCTATCCCAGAAACCCTGGCCCCACCTGCCCACCCATCGCCCTCTCAGTCCCCAGGGAACCAGGCTGGGCCTGGGGAGGGAGGGCGGGCGTCTCGGGTGCGGGGGAGGCAGGCCTACCTACCCAGACCTGTCACCTTCCGCAGGCAGGTGAGCGCGTACTGCAGGCGGCCGCACTCCTCCGCGCTGGCCCCACAGCGCCGCAGCGTCTCCTTCACCTTGGCCTCGTTCATGTCCAGCAGGGCATCCAGGGTGAGCTCTCGGAGGATCTCCTGGGGACGCACAGAAGGGACAGGCAGAGGGCCAGTGAGCCTCGGTCGGCCCGCGCCCTCTTCGTTCTCCCCCAGGCGGGCGGCCTCCCAGCTGAGTGGCAGGGGCCAGCTGCTAGTGGGCTGGACTCGACCTGGGGCCACCACGTGTCTGAGGACTAGGCAGCCGCTCTCCCCCGGCCCCCAGGGCTCCCAGAGCCGGCAGCTGAAGGAGAGAGGCCTAGCCTCGGGTGGGGGGGTGGGGGTGGGGGTGGGGGCGGAAGGGAAACAGCGGAGAAGTTTTGATCAGGGCTTGCCGCCCCTGGTTTCTTTTCATTCCTCTGCCCAGAAAAACGACCAATCGTGACACCGTTTAGAAGGACAGTATTTGAGGTGCAGACAGCCCTTTACAGTGCCGCTGCCCTGGATCGGATCAGACAAGACTTCAAGCGAAACTGGCTTAGTGAGAGAAGGGTTAAAAAGAAGGGACCCTCGCCCTGGCCAGTTTGGCTCAGCAGTTAGAGCGTCGGCCTGCGGTCCTGAGAGACCCGGGTTCGGTTCCGCTAAGGGCGCGTGCCTCGGCTGCAGTTTGTCCCCGGCCCTGGTCGGTTGTGCGGGTGGCAGCCACTCGATGTGTCCCTTTCACATCGATGTTTCTCTCTCTCTCTCTGTTCCTCTCTCTCCCTCCCACTCTACCTGAACAAAAAATGGAAAAATGTCCTCGGGTGAGGATAAAAAAAAAACAAAAAAACAAAAAGAAGGGACCCTCACCTGGCCAGGTGGCCCCGTTGGTTGGAGTGCCATCCCCTACACCAAAAGGTTGCAGGTTCGAGTCCCAGCCGGGGTACATACAGGAGGCAACCGATCGATGTTTCCCTCACATCAATGTTTCTCTCTCTCCCTCCTCTCCCTAAAATCAATAAAAACACATCTTCAGATGAGGATTAAAAAAAAAAGAATTGCCCTGGCCAGTTTGGCTCAGCAGTTAGAGCGTCTGCCTGCGGTCCGGAGAGACCCGGGTTTGGTTCCTGCTAAGGGCACGTACCTTGGTTGCAGTTTGTCCCCGGCCCTGGTTGGGTCGTGCGGGTGGCAGCCACTCGATGTGTCCCCTTCACATCGATGTTTCTCTCCCTCCCTCCCACTCTATCTGAACAGAAAATGGAAAAATGTCCTCGGGTGAGGATAAAAAAAAGAATGAACCCTCAGCAGGTGTGCAGGCACTTACTACCTCACTCGACTTCGCTCTAGGTCAAACCTCCCAAGGGCTGAAGGTAGCAGAGGGGAAGTGAGAGGCTCCAAGTGTGAGAAGGACACAACGCAGACCTGGAAGGTGGAGGGGCCTCTAGGAGAGAGTGGCCCCCCAAAGACCAGCAAGGAAAGGGGAACCTCAGACCCATGGCCACCAGGAACTGGATTCTGCCAACCACCTGAATGCCCTTCGACGTGGCTTCTTCCCAAGGCTCCCAGGTAAGAGGCCAGCCTGTGACACCTCGGCTCCAGCGTGGTGAGAGCGTAAGCAAGGAGCCCGCCTGGACTCCTCCACCCAGTCTTCCTCCTCCTCCAGAACTGTGAGCTAGCAGATGGGGTGCTTTAAGGCGCTAAGTTTGTGCTGACTTGTTACACCGACAGAAAACTAATACAAAGAGGGATTACTCAAATCAAGGCCTGACTGACTTCAAAGCTTGTGCTCGTTCCCCTCACCAAGGAAAGAAGAAACCCCTCTGGTTATGGTTACTTAGAGCCACCGTGATACTAAGCCTGGAGCAGACTCAGAACAATGGGACATGTCCCTGGCCTCCAGTGGCTTGCAGAGTGGGGGAAAAACACACCAATGCACTGTAACGAGACATGGCCGAGCACAGAGAAAGCTCAGAGTTGCTAGTTGCGGGACCAGTGATAAGATGTTTTGCTTTTTTAAAATTTTCTTTGGCCCTTTTCTTATTTTTTTTTAAGAGGTGGGGGGGGAGAAGAAAGGGAAGGAGGGAGGGAGGGAGAGAGAGAGAGAGACATCAATGTGAGAGAGACACATTGACTGGTTGCCTCCTGCATGACCCCAACCGGGGCCCAATCTGCAAGTGAGGTACATGCCCTTGACTGGAATCAAACCCGAGACCCTTTGGTCCATGGGCCGACGCTCTAACCACTGAGTAAAAGTGGCCACAGCAGCCCCTTTCTATATTTTTCTAGATTTTCTATAACAGAGAAAGCCAGACATCCCACATCAAATGATTCAGAGAAAGTTCACAGTTCTTGAGAACCTAAGCTGTTTTCATTGATTTTTACCAAGCTGTGTCTAATTTTATTTTAAAAGAGTGATGTTATTGTCATTCTATCCAATCTGCCGTCAAAACTGGCCTGATGAAGATATCGGCCGAGTCACTGGGGCAATGTGATGCTTGGGCCTTGTGCTGTCGGGAGGCGGGGGCACAGCTGAGGCCGGGGGTGCAGCCCCAGGACTCTGGCCATGTCCCTCCCTCCCCACCACTGTAACGTCTGTATATTCTTCAATCTCCAGGGTTGTGGACAAGAATCTTGTAGTTGCTTAGAATGATTCATACCAACAATCAGAAATAAACACACAAGTAAAAGCACCAAGAAGCTCATCATTGGGTGGACCAAGCCGTGGCCGTCAGAAACCCTCCTAGATGATAAAACCAGAGCGTCATAGGACAATGATAAGAACAGCAGAGAGGGGGCTGAAGAGATAATGGTCCCAGGGCAGAAACTTTTGCCTTTATTGCCCTCAGTAACATGCTTCATCAAAAGGCGGGTGTGACACCTTTCCCCCTCGTTTTACTATGAAGAGCAGGCTGGCAATACTGTGGACGAGCAGATGGCGGTGACGTCGGCCCTCACACAAGAGCAGAAACCACCCCTCCCCCCTCCCTGGTGTCCTCAGTTCTCGAAGAGGCTCCTGCATTTTCCCAAGGCTGTGATGACTCAGCAGGTTCCTGAGAGGAGGTTCCTCTATCTGCCTGATTTGGGGGCCTAGGGGGGAGACAAGGACACCAACAAGCCTAGAAACCCAATCCCCAATGTAACTAAAATGCTGGAGATTGGTTTTCTTTCTTTGTAGTCCTCTCTTCACCACCCATACTAAGTTTCAGTTTCTCCCACGTAAGAACAGCATTTATTATTGTGAACTACCTGCCGATACAATATGCCCAGTATGTCCACAGTATTGCTTGTCAAAACCACTCAGCAAGGAGAGGCTGTTAAGTCCAGTTTCTTGAGGCTCAGAGACCTCCTACAAGGCTACTTAATAAATGGCAGGGCCTGAAACCCAGGCATGCCGTTCCCAAAACTCCTTCAGTTATTCCAACCCAAGGACCCACTTAACTTGGAGATGCCCCAGCCCCCCCGGGGACAAGCATGGCTTCCTGGAGCGTGAACTCTGCGTGTCCAGCCATGAAATGAGAGTGCTTAGCACACCGCTCTCGCCGTGATTCCTGACTGTTCCTTCCATTCTCTGGTCCCTCGTCCCTGCAGGGTTGGATCACTGAGCTGAGGAGAGGGACTGCCTACTTCTACCTAAAAGCTGCAGTCAGGCCCTGACTGGTTTGGCTTGGCGGTTAGAGCATCAGCCTGCCGACCAAGGGGTCTCGGGTTCGATTCCCGGTCGAGGGCATTTACCGGGGTTGCAGGTTCCATCCCAGGCCCCGGTTGGGGTCGTGCGGGAGGCAGCCAATCAATGTGTCTCTCTCACATCGATGTTTCTCCCTCCCTCCCTCCCTTCCACTCTATCTGAAAAAAAATCAATGGAAAGATATCCTCGGGTGAGGGTCAACAACAAAATGCTGCAGTCAGTGAAGCTGCCCACCACTCTGGCTACCTAGTCAAGTGAGGGTCTCAAACACAGCCTCAGGGCCAGGCCTTTGGAAGAAGGGAGGTCAGAGGAGCTGAGGTACGAGAAATGCTTCTCTCGCCTCTACTGGACAACAAGAAATCCAGCAGCGGCAAGGGCGATGCTCACCAGAAACCCACCCTCTACCCTCACTCAGAGGGGAGACTAGGGAGGGGAGCCCTTCCTTCTGGTTTTCAAGAAATCTGAATTTTTATTTTAAAGGGGAAGGTTTGCATGGTGGTAACCAATGCAGGCCTGTGCAGACCAAACATCCCCATGGCTACGGGGAAACCTGACTCCCACACGGGGCCTGTGTGAAGAAGCTGACACCTTCCAAATGTCTGATCGGCGACTTCCAAAGCTTGACTTCTGCAGGCAACTGGGGAGAAACGGGGCCTGGCAACATGCCTCAGGGTGGCCAGGCCTTCCCGGTGAGCACGAGGCAGGCAGGCCCGGCTGGTGGCTGCACAGGCCCCGAGCGGCCCAAGAGATGCCCCCCAGCCCCTTGGCACCCCAGAACCTCACACACAGATGTGACTGGCCCACCCACAGTGCCGAGCACAGCCAAGTATGAGTTAGGAAGTTATTTCAGACCAGAATGATTCACATACAAATTTGCTGGATAAGCTCTCCGCTGAAAGCAAATGAGGGAATTAGTTCAACCACCTTCTAAAGGCGAACTCACAGGCCTGCTGACAGCCTGGCAGGCAGAGCGGCTCCGAGACCCTCTCAGGTCTGAGAGGCCCCGAGAGAGCCACCCGCCCGCCTGCAGGCACGTGGAACATGCCAGGCTGTCTCCAGGCCAGGGGCCCGCGCCCTGGAGTTCTGGGGAGGGGACGAAGGCCGAGCGTCTATATGCTTTGAAGAGAATCACTGCCCACCCCACCCCAGCTTCTGTGCAAAGAAGGAAATACGAATGAGAAACCAAGAAAGGAGAGCCTGGTGCCCAACCCATTTCGGGAGCTCCCTGAGCTCGGGTGAGCGTGCAGCACAGAAGCAGAGCAGTGACAACTGGGACACAGCAAGAGCTCCAGGGGACACTGGCTCCGCCTCTGCCCACCCCCTCCAGACACAATGTATACTCTCCAGTGGGAGACATGGAGTCATCCTTTCTTATATACCTAATAATTAGAGTCGGGTCAGCTGGGCGCTGAGGTCATTCCCAGCCTGTAATCATTAA